CAATGTTTTAAATCCACACACATCATAATAATTTGCACAGCTTGTGCGTCGGACTCCAATTCCAAACAGAAGCGACAGACGATAAAAACCAAAAACAATAAAAAACACAAACAGAGCCTTAACCGCGAGTCTCTCAAACAAAGGAGCCCCCCGCCATAAGTCATTCTATCCCCTAATTATTATTGTTACGGTTTTTTTGGTTCTATTCCTTGTGATCGTGCGCTTCATTACAGCCACCATATGTGACAGAACACAGAACCTTAAAAGTGAAAAAAAAGGACTTTCCAGCTGCTCTGCCTGGAACAGGGGCAGCAATCCCTCGAGGACCACACTAGTGGATTTCTACACCTGGCACGCCTCACAAGCTTCACTGATCATTCCCTGTGCATATTCTATCTCACCAGCTTGAAGAACGCACCAAGGCACGCCTACCCGGTAATGGTCCTCGGGGGACATTTGCCGCATATCTGGAGTGGGTGCTGGTGAATGACGGATTGGCATTCACCATCTGCCCTGCTGAGGATGACATCACCTGCCCCAATCTCGACCCAAAGCCTAGCCAGCAGCCAGCAGCCACCGCCCACACACTGCAGACGGAGAGTCCGAGCCCACCGCTATGCACGAGCCAAATAAGAGGACTTAGCCAACCATCACCTCGGAGCCCGACCCCTACAGAGAGTCTGACTAGGTGCGTGAAACGGCAACACTGTGTGTCCCAGTCTCCCTCTCCCACCTCCTCTGCCCATAACAGCCAGTTCCTCTGCCCCCCTCCACTGTTTCCCTTCAGCTCCTCCTCTGACTCCATTCTGCTCCCTGGATTCGCCTCGGCCCTTCATGTCTCCAGTTCCACCTCAGCACAAGGATCCCATGGCTACGCCTCCAGCCTCGAGCCCATCACTCCGCATCGGCTCGGTGACCACTCAGCTCCACCTTAGCTCCTCCCTCCCTCAGCTCCACATGGGACCATGGCCCTTGCGTCTCCACCAGGCTCCCTCGTCCCTCCGGCTCCGTCTTGGTCATACGTCACTCTACCTATGCCACGGACTTCCGGGTCTCCAGCTACGCCTCGACCCTCCCTCCACCCCTTCAGCTCCATCGAACTCCGCCTTCCCTCCGGCTCCAACTTGGTCCTACTGGCTCTGCCTCGGTCGCCTGAACCTTTAATGTCGTATGGTCCCATCAGCTCTCCGTCTTCACCTGGGTCTCCACCTCCATTGGCTTTGTCTCAGTCAGTCATTCCCCTGATGTCATCAGCCACCATGGCTCCTCCCTCCCACGACTCCGCCTTGGGCCATCGACCTGTATGGTCTTGTATGTTCTGTTCTGTTTAGTTACTTTTTGTTCTGGTTCTGTTTTCCCTGTTTCTGTTTGCCTGTATTCTCTGTCATTGTAAGTTGACCCAGTTTGCTAGTGTGTGCAAGTTTCTTCCCTTAGTTACTGATTATATTCACCTGTTGTTCATTTAGTTACCTCATTACTCCCTGTGTATTTATGCCCTCCATTTCCTCAGTTCAATGTTGTTGTTGATGTTTAGTGTGGTTGTGCTATTTTGATTCCCTGTGATTCTCCGGTGTTTTACATAATGGATCTAATATTATTAAATGATTGTTTTGTTCTATTCTTCGTGATAGTGCACTTCATTACAGCCACCATACACTCATGGGGACCAAAAAAATGGATTTTGTACATTGACATCTTTGTGGGGATAACATCTGTGACCCCATAACACAGGGTTTACCAGGACCACACACACACACACACACACACACACAATTTGACAGTTCAGTACATATCCTTAATAAGGGAGCCATGGCACAACAGCTTCTTGGTGATGCAATTGTTACAAAACAAATATAAAATTTAACAATGTAGGAAAATACCAAAATCACCATATTCTGTAATTAAATGACCTAAAACTGCACCTGTGAATTATGAATTGTACAACATGACTGTATATTTCATCTGTATTTTATTTGTATAGTCCTTATTTAAATTTGCACTTGGTTTACAATGAACAGATCTGCTTAGATTATTCAAGCACTCCATAATAATGTAAATCTTCATTAATACTTGTGTGGTCGAGATTAAAAGGTTAAATCGGTGACACTTTAGAATACGGTTCCTTCGTTAATGAATAACTACACAAGAACCAACGAGTAACATAATATTAACAATCTAGTAACTATTGAGAAACTCTGATTATCGAACTAGTAGGCTAAGTAATTGCGCTCAGATGAAAGTGGTAGTTCACTATTAACTAATCAATAACTACTATTTTTTTAATGCTTCCCAGAGAACTACTGAAAAAGTTTATTAACAATCCAGTAACTACTATTAACCAAAAAGAAACACTGATTAACGAATTAGTAAGTAATAGAAGTACTTCACCATTAACTAATCAATAACTACTATTTTTTTTAATGCTTCCCAGAGAACTACTGAAAATTTTCATAATTCATGCAAAACTAATCAATAACCAATGCAGGACAAATGACTAGCACTACATTAACATTTTAACTGCTACTGTAAACAATACACAAGGTTGTTTACATTATCAATTTGCAATAGCATAGCAGACTTATGATTTGGGAAAGATGTTAATAATTGGCCTATGCTGTCTATTTATCAACTGAATAATTTTAAAGAAATGGATTTTTAAATGCAGTTGTCGGGAACTTACTTGTCCTGTGGCCAATTTTCCGGCATTCCTCTGGACTGGCATTGAATCACTAGAGTCATGGTGAGTACTGGAACATATTGAGTCTTCAGCCACCCAAATACCATATAGAGTTATTTTATTATTTAACCTACCTCCCAAAAAAAATGTTTTATCCAATAGCTCATATATATGTGTGTGTGTGTGTGTGTGTGTGTGTGCATATCTTGTGAGTGAGAAGATTCTACACTTTATTGGCTTTTCATTAACTATAAAGAATCATGGGAACAAACTAGTAATGACTCAAGTGTTACTAGTTCTATGGGCATTACTAATTATTTGGATCCGTATTCTAAAGTGAAGATCATGGGAACTAACTAGTAATGACTAAAGTGTTACATACTTCTAAAGAAATTTTCTAAAAGTATACTAAAGTTCTACTAAAGTTCACCAAAAATCTCAAACGCTTAAAATGACTTTTGTGTTTGGTTGCACAAATCATGACTAGATCATGTAGTAACACTTGAGTCATTACTAGTTAGTTCCAATGATCTTCACTTTATAATACGGATCCAAATAATGAGTAATTCCCATAGAAGTATGAAGTACCACTTTCATCTGTGCACTATTTCTTACTAATTCGTTAATCAGAGTTTTTAGTTAATAGTAGTTACTAAATTGTTAATAAACTTTTTCAGTATAGTTCTCTGGGAAGCATTAATAAAATAGCCTAGTTAAATAGTGAACTACCACTTTCATCTGTGCGCTATTACTAGTTCGTTAAGAGTTTCTTGTTAGTTAATAGTTACTAGATTGTTAATATTGTGTTACTCATTGGTTCTTGTGTAGTTATTCATTAACGAAGGAACCGTATTCTAAAGTGTTACCGTTAAATCTCACGGTTGAAGGATTAAGAGTTGTGGAAGATCTGAAGAGAACATAGTAGTCAGATATTCACGTGGTATCGTAAAATTATTTGTACTTAACCTGTGTTGCCCCAACCTTTTTGTTGTTGTTGTTGTTGTTGTCTGTTCTCTATTACTGGAGTGAATAAACATACAATAAAAACGATCACTTAAAAAAGAAATATGAAAACAAAATATGAAATACTTAAAATGGTCACAATTTAGAGGTGTGGTTCTGGCTTGGAAAACAACTGCTTGTTATGAAATGACCCATATGCGTCACCTTTCAGAAATTGGGAGTTTAGCTGAATATATTCCCACTTGTTTAAAATTTGGTACTGAATAACTTGTGACTAATAGAACAAACACTGTCGTTTGGCATGGTCATCAACAAAAAACACTGCAAGTCTCCAAATTACAAATTAATCTCCAAACACAAAGAAATCTACAACCTGCTTAGCAGGAAGTGAAGATACACCTTACCAATTATCCAGTCCGTTACTGAATCACCGCGTTGGAGGTGGTGTTTCAAAAAGGATATTCTCACCCCATCCCAGATTTTTCCAAATACACATGTGAGAACCCACACCTCTTTGTCATCCGGAACATAAATGTACTATAATACTAAATGCCATGAGTCTTTGTCCATGTATGAAAATCAAAACTTGGGTTTAAGATAATGTATATGGTTGCAAAGTCAACAATTTTAAACTGAATGTATGTAGCTGCGGCTCATATTTTATATGCATTTTTCTAATGGTTCTATATTCTTCCACATGATACATGCAGATTTTTCTGCAGTGGTTGTCATGTTTTCACACCTGTAACTGTCAACCAATAAAAGTAATGATATTTTTGTAACATCTGCATGAAATGTACTGTGTTAACAAAATATTTCATCGACACATTATACTTGGATTATTTCTGTGTGTGATGCAACTCGAATATTGATGAATATTATATTATAGAATACACATTGAACATGTGGATGAAGAGAAAATGTCCTAAAATCAGTTTAAGGTTGTGAAGCTTGAGGGACAGGGGTTAAAAGTCTTTGGAATAAATGGTGCCTGCATTGTCTGATAAAAAAGTCCTTTATCTATTTTATTTTAGATTTTATTTTATTGTTTGCAATGTATAACATTTCCAAGTGTCAAATAACTGAATGATCAATACAGATTGTTTGTCAAAGTAATCTTTGCAAACAACCAAAAAGTGTAGGCTAACCCATTCAGCCTCTTTGCAACAACTGACTTTAATGAATCACTCCAATTTATTGTTACACAACACAGGAGGAATTTATCCCAATTTATCCAACTCATACCAATTGCACAACTTTCCTCGCCTTGGTGGAGTCGACAGGGAGGAGGCAGAGGTGTATAAAAGTGCGCACTTGAATGATGGGATCAGTGGACGAGTTCTCTGCGCATGTGCCGGAATAACTGCTCAGGATTCAGGATGCTGCTGCTGTCGCTACTGCCGCTGCTGCTGATTCAATGCTCGTTAACAAGTGGAGCCACTGATCCGTAAGAACCTTTATGATTATTATCTTCACAAATACCAGATAACAGAAGGTAGAGTAGCCGTAAAGAGGAAAACTGCAGGTCGAGGACTAGACGAGCGTCTTTCACAAGAATCACAACTACAGTGAACACTGATGAAAAGTTTAGAACAACAGCACTTTTGAGTTCTCACTCTGTAATTTTTTTTTTCACGGGGGAAAAAGCATTATGACGAGCATTGACCACCGTTTTTTACATTAAATTGTATTATAAAATGGCAGCTTGTTTTAGCTATTAAATCTGTGAGCTAAAATCAGCATTGGCCTCTCCAGCAACTTAGTAAAGACAGAGCACGGTGTTACCCATACAAACACAAAACACCACTAGTCTCACACAACACTAACTTTAACGCTAAAACGTTAACTAAATAACTGAAAATGCTAAATAGAATCAAATGTGAATTTTTGTGCATGGAATTCTGGGAATGCCCCTTCCCTCATAAAATATAAAGCTTTACCTTTTAATTAAAACAATATTTTTACTTTAAATATAGCCTATAACAAACTACATACACTGGAATAATAAAAGTGTGGAATAATAAAAGTCTGGAATAATTACGATTTTTTAAATGTTTTTGTTTTTTTAAATATCCTTCAGAATTCATTCTAATATGCTGACTTAGTGCTTAAGAAACATTTCTTACTATTATGTTGTGCAGCTCAAGGGTGTAAGTTTTGGTTTTGAGATTGGTGGGGACATTCCCAGAAGCTGAAGAATCAGGAAATTAATTAATAGTATAATATTAATGTTTTTAGTCTATATTAACAACGTTAATGAATTCTGTAATGTTATGGTAACTATTAAAGACAACAAGGGAGTTTAACAGAGACTTTACTTTACTCCGTTCATTGTGCAATGCAATAGTTCAATACGGTCTTGTTCCTTGCTTTTTGAAGAAGCCAAACACATGTCTGCATCTGTCATTAAAGGGATAGTTAAAGGGATAGTTCATCCAAAAAATTAAATTCTGTCATCATTTTCTCTCCCACAAGTTTTTTCAAACCCTTATGAATTCCCTTTTTCTACTGAACACAAAGGAAGATATTTTGAAGAATGTTGGTAACCAGACAGTTGATGGACCCTATTGACTTCATGTAAGAAAAAAAAATACTATGGAAGTCAATGGGACCCATCAACTGTCTAGTTACCAACATTCTTGCACTGCTGCATAATATTTTTGTGGAAACTGAAAAACTACCAAAATTAAGTAAGATAAAAAAAAAAAAGAATTTTAGTTTCTCCAGGACACATTAAATTGCTCAAATGTGACAATAAAGACATTTATAATGTTACAAAAGATATTTGAAATAATGCTATTTTCAAATAAATCTTAATTACTCCAAACTTATGTATTGTCTTATGCACAATGTATTGTTTGGTGAAATATAATTAAAAACATTTTTTTTACATTATAAGGTAATTCATAGTGCCACATTTATACTGCATCAACCAAACTCCTAAGTCTATATTTCTGTGTTTTGTCTTTTTTTAGCATATACCTGGTGTCTGTCACTTCCCAGGCGGTGAGTGGTAGCACAGAGACTCTGTGTGCACAGATCCATGAGCCCAAAGAACCACTTTCTTTAGTGGTAACTTTGAGGTCTGACAGTGGAAATGTGACCATTCTACAACAGGGCTCCATTACAAAGGATTTCTACAAATGCGTCCCATTTAAGGTTGGTAAAGGCTACTCAATATAGCTTAACAAAACAGAGTGTGCTGTAGTGTATCAGGTAATGCTATGTTATAGAGATCATGACCTTTCGTATACATCATGTCTGAACAACTCTTATAAAATGACATCAATGTTAAAGAGCATATCCGTGATGAGATATACAATATCGTTATTGTGCAACTAAAACCCTAAGATTTGCATTTATTATTCATTTTGCACATTCTTTTCACTATGGAATTGTTCAGTGGTCCCTGCAGTCTTGATGATGTTTTCAATTCACTACGTGGAGTTATATCATGGAGTTGTACTTGTTCCCTATTTTATTTTGTATCTTCCAGGTCCCTCTAGTCACTGTGGAGTCTGTGGCATCCGTCAATGTTGCAATCCGAGGAGGCACAACATCCCTGAGCAAAACCACTCAGATCCTCATAAATCCCCCCCAAAATCTTATTTTCATCCAATCAGACAGGCCTATCTACAAGCCAGGACAAACAAGTAATATTTCTCTATCCAAATTATTCCACAATAGCTTCAGTTGTCAGTACTCGTACTCATATTTACTAATCTGAACCTGTGAATCTTTCTGTATTGCATGTTAATATTCTCTCATATTTTCTCTTCTCCAGTTAAATTTCGCATTGTGTCTCTGGATTCCAATTTCTTGCCCCACAAACAAGTGGTAGGTTTAATTCAGTTTACATGAAAAAAAAAAAAATATGTATATATATATATATATATATATATAGGTATATATATATTTTTTTATTATTATTATTTTATTATTAGTTTTTTTTATTGAATATATATTATTGTTTTTTTGTATCTAACTGAAATTATTTTCTTCTGTCTTTCTCTTGCAGTTTAAAACGGTAGAACTCCAGGTATAAAAACTTTCAAGCAGCCTTGATCTGTGCATTGTTTGTTACTTCACTTAAATGCAGTTGGAAAAGCACTGTAGGCTTTTTTTTTCATCATGCCCCACTGTTGTTTAGGACCCTAACTCGAATCGCATTGGTCAGTGGTTGAATCAGTCAACAAGGATTGGCATTTTGGACCTGTTCCACTCCATATCTCCAGAAGCCACTCAGGGTTACTACACGATCAGTGCTTGGGATGAGAAGAACCACCAAACATCACACAACTTTGAAATTAAAGAATATGGTCAGAACTAGAAATCAGCTTTTATATGCCAATCCAATATTGATCAGCTATATATATAGTAGTTTTTTTTCCACATGTCTCTTTTAGTTCTGCCAAAATATGAAGTGATCATCAATTTTCCAACTGTAATAACCGTCCTGGACAAAGAGGTCACTCTGAAAGTTTGTGCAAAGTAAGAATTTGTTCAAATAATGTTAAATTCTTTACAGAAAGAAATATGCACATACCTTTGTTTCAGTGATATGTTCAGCCTGATTAAAAACAACCTTTTTTTCCACTGTCTGTAGATACACTTATGGGAAGCCTGTGCAGGGGTCTGTGAATGCTGAAGTGTGTGGGAATTCCTGGTTTTACTATTATAGAACCTCTAATAAAAGGGTTGACATATGCAAGTCATATTCAATGATGGTAAGTTACCTTCTGCACACAGAAAACCGTTACCTTTTGGGTTGTAATCCTAAAAACAGTGAGCTAATAGTAATGCCATAATAGCTGATAATAATATTCTATGCAATTTCTTAGTGAACAGCATTTCTGACAAAACTGGCTAGTGTTTTATAAACAGCATATGCTAAAAGAAGTGCTCTTAATTGTATTGAACGTGCACTTGTAGTGTACTTCAAATGTTAAAAATAAACTGTACTTGCAGATAATATAATATAAATGAAATAAAAGGCCACTTAGGTATACTGTACTGAAAGAGAGAACACTTATATTAATGTTTCTTAACACTTGTAAGTACAATTTTAAAAAGTAATGTAATAATGTGATATTAAACATTTTACTTTAAAGTACATATGAATTTTTTTTAATAATCTTTTTGTCATGCTTTAAAGAAGTAAACTTATTTAGATGTGTTCTTGAATATAATTTTAGCTGTAGTATGTTATTCAATATTACATTTTAAGTTAATACATTCAAATGTGCTAAATTTCAATTTCCATCATATTTTTCACTATATTTGGCAGTACACTTTAACCATATTTCAAAGAAAATAGAAGTCATTATGAAATTACATTTAAAGATGTACTAAAGTCCTATTAAGTGGTTCAAAAAGCACTTCAAAGTTCAGCGAATAGCATTTAGTATAAATTGAAACTGTAATAGACTCTCATTCAATGCAATTATCATACAAAATGTCTGAAAACATTACAGTATATTATAAAAGTGTATTATTTCTGTAATGAGCACCCTTTTAAAAAAATTGCTAAAATAAACTTATTTTTATCAAGGGTCAGTATTTCAAAAGTCTAAATGACTGTTTTCATTTAATTCTTGTTTATTTAGACTGACAAGACTGGCTGTGGGTCATGGGTGGTCAATGTGGAAGAATTTGGCTTACAATACAGTGGAAATTTCCTGGTGAATTCTAAAGTGGTAGAGTCTGGAACAGGTGAGAGTGTAGAACAACTGCTGCTGTCTATTTTAATTCTCCTATACAGAGTAATGAAACATGGTCTTTTGTTCCTCCAGGGATAACTGTGTCGGGTACTACTACAACAGCTATGTTTACCAATGATTATGTCAATGTTAACTTTGAGGACACATCAGACACATACAGGCCTGGCATGCTCTTTAAGGGAAAGGTAACAGCTGCTCCAAAAGTAACAAAAGTTTCGAATAAAGTTCATTGTGGTACCATAACTGTTGGTACCAGCATTCATAAACAACCTGTTTAGCAGTCAGCATAGCCATACTGTGTACAGGAAGTGTAACATTTGTTTGTGAGCTAATGATTCTTATCTTTCTCTACATGTTATTTTCTTACAGGTTGTGGTCACTAATCAACAGTCCAGTCCGATGAAAAATGAGCCAGTGATTGTCTATGCAGATAATGGTGAAAAAGTTGTTAATGTGACACTGACGACAGACAGCACTGGCACTGCCAGTTTCTCTTTCAACACTTCTGAGTGGTCAGAAAAACATGTGTCTTTACGGGTTAGTCGTGTTTTTGTTTTATAACATGATGTTTACAGTATGTATAATGCAGTATACTGTAACATTTCACATGTGCAGTAAAATGATTGGCAAACTTTTTTTTCTTAGGTCCAACATAAGGGAGAAGAGCGGACTGATTATTGGGGTTATAGATATGGTCCATCAGGCTATCTCTACATAAGACCCTTTTACTCCAAAAGCAAAAGTTTCCTGATGTTGATGAAGGCTTCAGGGAAGCTCAGCTGTAACAGTGATGCAACTGTGGTGGCCAGTTACATCATTCAGGGCAATGTACTGAAACCAGGCCAGAACACCTTGGATTTCTTCTATATTGTATGTTTAATATTGACACTCTTTTTTTATTGCTTGGTCATTTGTTTTATTGCTCAACAAGCTTTTTGACCTTTTTCAGCGAAGCACGATATATCAGCACCATAGTCATAGCCAATATTAGAGATTTATTACTTTATCTGTACAAGTTTATATCAGAACCTTATATACGTATTACCTATAATTTAATTGCCCACGCTTATTTCCCCAAACGTTACATTTAGATTAATGCTCACTTACATTTCATTTTAAAAACACCAAAAACATTGATAAATGTAATCTTTAGCTCAAAATGAATAACCATTTTTTTCATACTGTAGAGTATAATGTTGTGATGTTTAATTTTAATTTATTTAGACACAAATATTTTAGACTTTTAATATCAGCCATTGCTGCCGTAATATGGAAATAATTGGCCAGAATTTTACTATCAGTGTTTCAACCCCTGTTTTGGTTCAGAAACAGAATTTTTCTTGAAGGTTTCCTAAATTTTGCAGGGTAACTGTATTACACCAGGAGAAATGATGATGAAAAATATCGCAATGTTAATCAAGCTGTAGAGCTCTGTAGCAATGCATAACTTGTCAATTATCTACCTTTTGCTTTCCAGGTCCTTTCCAAAGGCAGCATGGCTCTAAATGGCCGTCTGTCTGTAAGTGTGAAGACTGGAAAAGGTACACAGCTTGTTTTAAACAACATTTACATTGTTCTGTATAGGGTACAAGTGTATTTTAATGGTGCCTGTTTTTTTATTTATTTTTTTCACAAATGGTCTCTCTCTCTCATAATAGAAAACAAAGGAGAGCTGAGATTCTCACTGAAGAAGACAGCAGCTCTGGCTCCATTCGCTCAGGTGTTGGTTTACACCGTTCTTCCCAGCGGAGAAGCAGTAGCAGACAGTATGAACTTCCCCATTGAAGAATGTTTGCCAAACAAGGTCAGAAAATCCCACATGAAATCCCATTTCAGAATTCAATGTGCCCTTCAAGCTTTTATGTATCTTTTTTTTATTATCATGAATGTGTGATGAGACTGCTTGTGCTCTTCAGGTGTCTTTAAAGTTCTCGTCTCCCACGGCACTACCTGGAGAGAAGACATCTCTTAACCTGAAAGCCAGTCCTGACTCCTTGTGCTCCGTTCGGGCCATCGATCAGAGCGTGCTTCTGTTGAGGCCAGAGGCCGAGCTCAATGCAGCCACTGTATGTTACATCATAACTTACATTACAACTATAACTAATAGATGAGTTCACCAGTTGAATGAGTAGAAAAAAAAAAGAATACACTTGAATACACTTCTTCCATAATAAGCATGTTTTTAATTTCCCAGTTTAAATTGAGATTTTTAGATAGATTTTTGGGAGCACATAAAGTAAAAAAAAAATGAAGTGATACAGCTGTCCATAAAACAAGTTAATAATGAAAAAAAAAGCCTTATTAAAAGAATACAATTCTTGAAAAGAAACTTAGTAGTTTGGCATAACCAATTATAATTATTTCTTAAAATCTTTTTAAAATATATCAACAAAACTGCTTCACAGTTTATTAATATTTTAAAAGTAAAAATAAATCATGTGGTGTGATGAAAATACGGTATTAGTTTTTACTTTAATTGGCTATTCAATATGACATTACAAATATGATTTCCTAAAAATTTTACAATTTTAATATTAAAAAATATTTGAACAAAACTGCTTCACTGTTTATTAATATTTTAAAATGTTTTTTAAGCAAAATTCATGTGATTTAATGAAAATATGTTGTTACTTTGTACTTGCTGGTTACACCAAATTACATTTTTGTAATTATTAATTATTAAATAGAAAATTGTTTTTTGAAAATGCAACAAATGTCGCAAAACCACATGAAACATATGAATACAACAAGTACATCTCTAAGAACTTGCAACATGTGCTTTAAACTGGAGTTTTATATTATTCACACTCTCATGGCAATTTAATAATGTTTTTCAGTGATTAGGAGATTACATTGTCAATTCTACGGATCAATCTCTTATCATTATTCAACAGGTCTTTGGAATGTTACCAGTCCAGTTGTTGTCGGGGTACCCATACAACACTGAGGAAATGGAGCCTTACCCCTGCCGGCATCCTATGGAGAGGGAATTTGCTGAACCTGCGAGGCGCAGGCGCAGCATCATGCATTACCCTTACTACAGTCTCAAAAATGATGTCTACACCATCTTTAGAGTAAGATAAACAACACTTCTTATTTCAGAGGTCTTCCAATGTCAGCCTCACTGTACACTATCCACTGTCACATAAAGCTTGCTTTTTTTCTAGGAAGTTGGAATCAGAATCGCTACCAACTCTGATGTGAAAGCACCTGTTGTTTGTACTGAGATTTTCAATGAAATGAAGGTGATGAGGGAACGTAAGTAATTTGATTTTGTTTAGGATTTAGAAATGCCCCTTTTATCTATTGGATTTACAAACTATCAATTCGAACAGCTGCATTGGATGATGGTGGGAGATTTGAATTGGCCCCGTCGGGAGCGGGTTTTGGTACAAACATGAAAAATCATGCTGGGAGGATCCGCAAATTCTTTCCGGAAACCTGGATATGGGATCTTATCCCTGTGGGGTATGTATCTTGTACCATGGCAGTACTATTCCTCAGTAAAGCTGTGTTTTATTTGGATTTGGATTACTGTAAACAGTATATACGGCACAGTCTTTTTAATTTATACAGAAGCACTATATATTTTTTTAATTCACCAGGAGATCAGGATCTGTGGATGTTGCAAAGACTGTCCCGGACACCATCACTAAATGGGCTGCAGGGGCTTTCTGCACGTCCCCTTCCGGGTTTGGACTGGCCCCCAACATCAATCTCACTGCTTTCAAGCCCTTCTTTGTGAGCCTTTCCCTCCCTTACTCTGTTATCCGTGAGGAGACGTTCACTCTCAAAGCCTCTGTATTCAACTACCTCCCCAAATGTATCATGGTAAGCCCCTGTAATTTGTTTACTTTCATGTCCTGGAGTGGTTTTGCAATCGTTTGTAGTAAAACCGTTTCCTGTAGACTGGCACTATACAAAATCTCTGTGTCTTTTAATAAAGGTGAAGGTCACGCTGGCGGACTCACAGCAGTTCACTGCTCGGCCGTGTAAAGGTTGCACATACACTCAGTGTGTTTGTTCTGAAGAGAGCAAAACCTTTCAGTGGATTGTTACGCCTTCTGCCCTGGGTAAGCCAGATACTTTGACGTCTATGTATATGAGCAAAAACAAACAGAAATTTCATTTTCATTTGGTTCCACAAACTGAAAAGTTTATTTCATGTTTGATCATGTTACCACCAGGGCTTTGTATCACGCTTAAAATAGGAATGTCTTAAAGGGATGTAGTGAAAATTCTGTCATTCATTTTACTCATGTCATTCCAAACCTGTTTTTATTTCTTTCACCTGAAGATATTTTGAAGAATGTTGGTGACCACACAGTTTTGGTGCCCATTGACTTCCATTGTATTTTTCTGTCTATATAATGGAAGTCAATGGGACCCAAAACTGTTTGGTTACCAACATTCTTCAGATATTTTCAGAAATTAAAATCATACAGGACATGAGTAAATAATGACAGAATTAAAACAGTTTGGGTGGACTATCCCTTTAACAGGTAACAGATTTGTGTATTATTGCAGGCCCCAGGGCACTTTGTTTCTTCTGTAACTTAAATCCACACAAAGGATCATTGTGTACTGGTGTGTGTGTGTGTTTTACAGGAAAGGTGAACATTACAGTGCGCGCTGAGGCGGTGCAAACCCGAGAACTGTGTGGCAATGAAGTGGTGACTTTTCCGGACAAAGGCAGAATTGATACTGTGATGCAGAGTGTTCTGGTGGAGGTACGTGCCTTTACTGTATATGAGCGCTATTAAAAACAGGCTTACTGAAATCATGTGACTCAATCTCCAACACTAAGCTAACAAGTCAACATGGAATGAACGTTACATAATCAATTTCCTAACACAAATTCATCTGTCATACTGTGTTTATTATTCTAAAAGGATATTTTTAGATAATTGCTATTTGGATATAGTTTTGGGTCTTTGTAAAATAGTTTACAGTAATTGAATGCAAATGTGAAATGTATTTATTCCATGTATTATCTATCCATCCATCCATCCATCCATCCATCCATCCATCCCAGGCGGAGGGAACTAAACAGTCCGTCACTCAGAATGAACTCCTCTGCTTAACAGGTTAGTGGCATTACAGTGTGTTGTGTTGTCTATTTTAATCAATAAAGAATTGGAATTATTTGACCTTCACTTTTGTAAAAATAAGCAAACATTCTTTTTATAGCAATGTTCTTACAGTGCAAGTCTATGGACCTGTTTATACATGATATTAAGATGCGTTGTGGTCTATCGGATCACAATTCACGAGTTCACACTTACATACAATTAAGGGGAATAAAGTATAATGCGTATTTGGCGTGCTGTCCGGGGGGAGGGCTCCGAGCTCGGAATTCGGCCCGAACCCAGAGTACTCCCCCCCGTATGTAAGTGGTTTAGGACTAGAAGAGTGGAGAAGGGGTGGTGGAGGGACGCTGCTAAACTGTCAGAGAAATGAGGTGAGACTGCTGAGTCTATATGTACACGTTTTAATCATGATTGCTGAGTGCTCTCCACCCGTGTTAATTATCTGAACGTGCTTCTCCCGAACTTTGTTAATGAAACATTTTAATCATGATTGCTGAGTGCTCTCCACCCGTGTTAATTATCTGAACGTGCTTCTCCCGAACTTTGTTAATAAAACATCATTTCACGAGTTCACACTTACATACAATTAAGGGGAATAAAGTATAATGCGTATTTGGCGTGCTGTCCGGGGGGAGGGCTCCGAGCTCGGAATTCGGCCCGAACCCAGAGTACTCCCCCCAAAAGGCTAGAGAGCAGAGGACAGCCGCCGGACTAAAGACCCCCCCCAAATGAGTGCCGAGATTGGCGGGCTGGCATCTCGTGAAAGGTCTGGGCGCTTGGCCGGGAGGGCCCGTGGTGGCGGCTCACTGCCCTGGACTGACGGGCCCTGCTGACCTGAGGATAGGGAGAAATTGTAATGGCAAATTAGGAGAGTTGTGCCTTCTTGATGGGTGCTGTTCGCGCAAATCACGGACGATAGACCGAGAGGCCCATGTAGCTTGGAGTGGCCCTTCCGATCTGAGTTTACGAGAAAGTTTCGCTGCGTGCGCTGCGACAAAAATGCTTGCTGGAAAAGAGGAAACGGGAAAGAGAAAAATGAGTACTCTACCGGGAGATTTTCTCACACTGCGTCGCTGGACGAAAGAGAAAACATAAGTGCTCTACCGGAAGAGTTCTCACTGCGTCCGCTGTGGGACTAAAGCCCGCTGGGCAGAAGAAGAAATTGGAAAGAGAAAAATGAGTACTCAACCGGGAGATTTTCTCACACTGCGTCGCTGGACGAAAGAGAAAACATAAGTGCTCTACCGGAAGAGTTCTCACTGCGTCCGCTGTGGGACTGAAGCCCGCTGGGCAGAAAGAGTAAACTGGAAAGAGAAAAATGATTACTCATCCGGGAGATTTTCTCACACTGCGTCGCTGGACGAAAGAGAAAACATAAGTGCTCTACCGGACAAGTTCTCACTGCGTCCTCTGTGGGACTGAAGCCTGCTGGGCAGAAAGAGGAAACTGGAAAGAGAAAAATGATTACTCATCCGGGAGATTCTCATACTGCGTCGCTGGACGAAAGAGAAAACATAAGTGCTCTACCGGACAAGTTCTCACTGCGTCCTCTGTGGGACTGAAGCCGCTGGGCAGAAAGAGGAAACTGGAAAGAGGAAAATTAGTACTCAACCGGGAGATTTTCTCACACTGCGTCGCTGGACGAAAGAGAAAACATAAGTGCTCTACCGGAAGAGTTCTCACTGCATCCGCTGTAGGACCAAAGCCTGCTGGGCAGAAAGAGAAAACAGGAAAGGAAAAAATGGGTACTTGGCCAGGGGATTTTCTCACACTGCGTCGCTGGACGAAAGAGAAAACATAGGCCAATTACTATACCCACGGACGCAGTAAGGTATTGCAGTAATATGAGTGATAAAAAATAAATAAATAAAAACGTCGATTAAACAACTGAAGCGGTCCGAAAACAAATTATGCGAGTCACAGGGCACGGCCAACTTCGATTCCGTATCAGAATTCTGGCTCTGTGTCCTCACGTTTGTCTGACTTTCGAGCTGGGAAATCCAAGGAAGGGGGTGTGTTGCTAGGCAACGTCTGTCTTTTTAGTCGGACTCCGACACGCATAAATAATAGAACGCAGCATAAGTACATAGAACATCCACTGGGAGACCAATGCTCGCTGGATGGAAAAAGAGGAGAGATAGATGCATGCAACATCTGCTGGGAGACCATGCTCACTGGATGGAGAAGGAGGAAACATGCATGCTATGTCCGCTGGGAGACCAATGCTCGTTGGACAGAGAAAGAAGAAACCAGAGAAACAGAGCTCCTGCTGGACCAGAGGAAACATCAGTGCTGCGGTAGAGAAAATTGGCTAGAGAAGCAGAGCTTCTGCGGGAGCAGAGGAGAAATCACTGCTGTGGCAGAGGAAAAAATTTAGCAAGAGAAACAGAGCTTCTGTGGAAGCAGAGGAGACATCACTGCTGTGGCAGAGGAGAAAATTAGCCAGAGAAACAGAGCTTCTGCGGAGCAGAGGAGACATCACTGCTGTGGCAGTGCAGAAAATTTAGCAAGAGAAACAGAGCTTCTGTGGAAGCAGAGGAGACATCACTGCTGTGGCAGTGGAGAAAATTAGCAAGAGAAACAGAGCTTCTGTGGAAGCAGAGGAGACATCACTGCTGTGGCAGAGGAGAAAATTAGCCAGAGAAACAGAGCTTCTGCGGAGCAGAGTAGACATCACTGCTGTGGCAGTGCAGAAAATTTAGCAAGAGAAACAGAGCTTCTGTGGAAGCAGAGTAGACATCACTGCTGTGGCAGTGCAGAAAATTTAGCAAGAGAAACAGAGCTTCTGTGGAAGCAGAGGAGACATCACTGCTGTGGCAGTGGAGAAAATTAGCAAGAGAAACAGAGCTTCTGTGGAAGCAGAGGAGACATCACTGCTGTGGCAGTGGAGAAAATTAGCAAGAGAAACAGAGCTTCTGTGGAAGCAGAGGAGACATCACTGCTGTGGCAGTGGAGAAAATTAGCAAGAGAGACAGAGCTTCTGTGGAAGCAGAGGAGACATCACTGCTGTGGCAGAGGAGAAAATTAGCAAGAGAGACAGAGCTTCTGTGGAAGCAGAGGAGACATCACTGCTGTGGCAGTGGAGAAAATTAGCAAGAGAGACAGAGCTTCTGTGGAAGCAGAGGAGACATCACTGCTGTGGCAGTGCAGAAAATTAGCCAGAGAAAAAGAGCTCCTGTGGAAGCAGAGGAGACAATCACTGCTGTGGCAGTGGAGAAAATTACCCAGAGAAAAAGAGCTCCTGTGGAAGCAGAGGAGACAATCACTGCTGTGGCAGTGGAGAAAATTACCCAGAGAAAAAGAGCTCCTGTGGAAGCAGAGGAGACATCACTGCTGTGGCAGTGCAGAAAATTAGCCAGAGAAAAAGAGCTCCTGTGGAAGCAGAGGAGACATCACTGCTGTGGCAGTGCAGAAAATTACCCAGAAAAACAAAGCTTTTGTGGAAGCAGAGGAGACATCACTGCTGTGGCAGTGGAGAAAATTAGCCAGAAAAACAGAGCTTCTGCGGGAGCAGAGGAGACATCACTGCTGTGGCAGTGGAGAAAATTACCTGGACAAATTGCGAAGATGGCAGTTCGCGTTTGGAACAGTTTAGACGGTCTTGGAAGGTGGATGAGCTTTGTGCAGTGTAGCCTGGAAATCACCTGTATCCAAGTTAATGCCCAAAATTCAAATGGACGTGGCTGAACCCATGGTTTTACCTGTGCAATTGGAATGCCGAACTCAGCAGAACTGTGCGGGGCTGAGGGATCGATAATTAAACAATTTGAAAATGTTCTTATTTCTCTGTTTATTTTCATCATTTTTAATGGGTCATATTATATTCCATGCTGATTTGTTCTGAATCAGAAAACACAATACAATTTAAAATTTAAAAGTTTAAAATTACCTACTTAAAAATAAAAAATACATTTATGCAATAACTAAGTTTCTAAGCGATTTTGTAAATAAATTGCAGGACAGTCAACAAGAGGTTCTTAATGATTCTGTGTGCAATCTGCACGTAATATGAGACCTACTGTTTACATGTGAGTTTACCAGAAGTATTGCGTTAATGAACAGCAGATCCTTTGTACAGAAACTATTTAATACACGTGTTCCACCGGTCAAAATGTGTATCCAGATAGCATGACTTGCTCATGATTCAACAACTGAAGCGATGCGAAGTTCAAATCAGGGACAGAAAACGAAAAGGGTTTTGAGCTAAGCACTCACGGAGTTGACCCGGCAGATGTTGAGAGTGTGGACTGGCCGGGACTGAATCTGCAGCGCGGCTTACTTAGGGCCTGTTGCGGCGGCCTGACGGGAAGGCCCGTTCCTTTGCGTTAAGAGGGCAGCATTGCCGTGTCCATTTCTCTATGGCAGGAATTTTAAATGGTCCGGTTTAAAGAAATACGTAGAAGTAGATTGGGAATGTTTCGCCCGCGGTTGCGAGGACCCGTTTGTTTGGCTTGACGCCCATGAGATAATACCAGAGGTTTGCAGCAAAGATTCTTTATCGAACACGAAGCTCGATTCGGACGTGTTAGGAAGGTACTGCGTGCCAAACGCTGCTAAACTGTCAGAGAAATGAGGTGAGACTGCTGAGTCTATATGTACACGTTTTAATCATGATTGCTGAGTGCTCTCCACCCGTGTTAATTATCTGAACGTGCTTCTCCCGAACTTTGTTAATGAAACATTTTAATCATGATTGCTGAGTGCTCTCCACCCGTGTTAATTATCTGAACGTGCTTCTCCCGAACTTTGTTAATAAAACATCATTTAGACGAGGGAGACACATTCCCATTTACACCTGGTCTCCTTTGTTCACTTTCGACCACTTCTTGTATGTGCTTTTTCAGATCTTTCAATCTAATGGACGAAAGTTTAAATCCCATCTGACTAGCGCGCTTCCCATAATGTTTACACGTTAGGTTAGTAGGCGCAGAGCAGGCAGGCTTTTGTGGTTGTTCAAACACATTCGACCACATGTACGCTCAACCTACACTACAAAAGCAATTCATTCGAATGTGTTCGACTACCTCTGGAAGGGGTCAAAAGTGGACAAGCTCAAAACATTTTAGACCCTGTATTTAGCGTCGTCCACTTGTGATCGGATTGACGAATACCAGGTGTAAACAGGGCCTATGAGCAAGGTATTGCAATGGATAAATGTTAAAATACTCGGTTTCAAAAAAGCTTCCAATTTTGTTCCACTTTTAAACCCTACTGCATGTTTTTTTTTTTTTTACAAGATATTAGAGAAAATGAAAGAAAAACATGAGCAAGTGTTTTGACATTTTTTCTCTATTCCATTAGACCGTCCACAGGAGACATCCGTCTCCCTCACTCTACCCAATGTTTTTGTCAAGGATTCTGCCAAAAGCTTCGTCACTGTTCTGGGTGAGTCTAAAGATATGCTGGGAAATATACATGATGCACACTCATTGCTGCATCATATTAGCATATAAATATGAAATTATACGTTATAAATAATAATTCCTCTCATTATAAGGTTTTCTGATTTTTTAATCATACTAATGGTTGTATGCCTCTGGCTCTTTGGACCGTAGGTGATCTGATGGGTCGTGCTTTGAAGAACATTGGTAATCTGTTGGCTATGCCAACAGGCTGTGGAGAGCAGAACATGCTGCTTTTTGCCCCCAATATTTACATTCTTCAGTACCTGGAGAGCAGCGGGCAACTCACTCCTGAGATTAAAGGCCGAGCCATAACCTTCCTGGAGAGCGGTGAGGAAATCTGTTATGAAATAAAAGATTATTGTTTATTAATGCATCTTACAAAACAGTAAATACTATTTATAAAAACATAAGTTTAAATAGTTTTATTGGGGAAGAGATCAATTCTTTTTGGAAATTATTGTTTGCTGTCAAGTTTTTTTGCAGTTTTTAAATAAAAAAAATAATATATTTCAACAATGTAAACTTACAGACAATTAGTTAAATAGTTTAGCATTTTTCAAACTAGCTCACCAAAACACTTGTTGCATCATTCCTCAGCTGCATTTGATTAAAAACTCAGTGGTGAATCATAACTTAATGAGAGAAATATTGAACTCCAATTAAATAAAAAATAAAAAATCCTTTTTGTGTTGCAGGCTATCAGAGAGAGCTGACTTACCAGCATTATGACGGATCTTACAGCGCTTTTGGGATGAATGATCCTTCTGGTAACACCTGGTGAGTCTGAAACAGAGACAATGAAAGCATTCAGTTGCTTAACTTAGGACTTACTGTGCTGTGGATTCTGGCTTCCCGTATGTGGATTTAATGCCTTTCTGGTCAGGTGTTTTTAGTCCACATGGACTTTATACACAAGGAAACTTCCTGAAACTATTAAAGTCCCCCTGTAGTCAAAATTGTATCCCTTAAAACTCAGCTTTGATCACCAAAATTACATGTTTAAACATTATTTTCCTTGAATTTTTTTCATGCCTTAAAATAGCTTGAATGTAACTCTACACTCTTGCCTCATTTAGTATACGTGGTTTTATGAATATGCAAATTAGCCCCGCCTCCACTCACTCGCAGCAGCTCAGAGATCCACTGATTGATTGATGATCACACGTTGACGTGATTGGTTACAAGGTAGTTTGTGATGTCAGAAACACCAGAGATTTCAAACCGCATTTTTGAGACTTTCATTGGTTCACTGCAGCTTTAAGGAGAAAATACTCAGCAATGGTGTTGACATGAATTTGCACATGGTTTGTCTTAAAGAATATTAAAAACACCACATAGACATAAACAACATCAAAAGCTTGACTTTAAGTCAGATTTACTGAAGTGTAGGAATTTGACAGCAATTTATATTGTTTCCTCAGGCTAACTGCATTTGTGATGAAGACTTTCGGTGGGGCAACGCAGTACGTATTTATAGATCAGAACAACATCGACAGGGCAAAGGATTGGCTGGGTCAACAGCAGATGGACAATGGCTGCTTCGCCTCTGTTGGGAGGCTTTACCACATTGAAATGATGGTGAGGACAGAACAGTTCCTTTATCTGCTGCTGAAAAACATCTTAAACAAGCCTAAGGTCCCAGCTGGTTTAATCAGGTCTAGTTGTTCTCCTAAGCTGGACTTTATCTGGTTGGGTTTCCAAGAGTTGTGGCCTGGAAGACAAGCGTGATCAAGGAGTTTCAGTCAAGATGTGTTATATTTCAGCAGAGATATTTTATCAAGCCATTAAAACTCCATCCATCAAGGTTTCATTTAATAGGTGTTGACAGCACACATGAACTGAACATTGGTATCTGCAGGGCTTTACTTTTGCGGTGTGCAGTAGGAGCTTACTGTAGTGAGGTTCACGTTTAAAATACACTGTATAAGCTATATAATAAGTTGTATCCTTTTTTTTTTTACAGATTTTTAATTCTCAGATCTGTTTTTAAAGATGTTTAGATCTTTAAACTGGAAAACATCAAATCTACTGATACTGATTAAGAAAAGTTTTTGATGTTCTAATGTGCATAGAGTAGCGATTACATCTTCTGATCTTCTACATAAAATCAGATATATAAATATCAAATACCGTTTCAGAAATATGGTAGAAAAATGAGATGAGATGAGAAGCTGTCACAGCGACGAGTGGGATGAGGAGATGATTCGGGGAGAGGTAATGGATCAGAGTCATTTATGGGGAGGAAAGCGGCTCTTTAGTCTGGTGGTCCTGGATTTCACACTCTGGAAATGTCAGTTAGACGGCAATAAGCGGAGGAGATTGAAGTGCTGAGGGTGGGAAGGATCTTTGATGATGCTTTGCTCTTACAGGGTGGCGTCAGCGATGAAGTCACTCTCTCTGCATACATCACTGCAGCGCTGCTGGAATTAGGCGTACAGACATCTGTGAGTAAACCCCTCCTTATGGGTCCTAAGGGATGGACTTTTGTAGTCACAGATCATTCTAACTCAATACTGATAATGTGACTAATGAAGGAAGCACACACTCATTAAGTCTTTTGTATGCTGTGTAAGGATCCCATGGTGGTGAGAAGCCTTGCGTGTCTAAAGGAGGCTTCGCTTAACATTACCAACACTTACGTCACCGCCTTGCTGTCCTACACCTTCACTCTTGCTGGAGATGTGCAGATGAGGCAGAACCTCCTCTCCAACCTGGACCAGCAGGCCAGAAGAGAAGGTACCATTCACCTTTAGATAATGAGCTAAATCTATATTTTCCAAAAATACATAAATATATATATATATATATATATATATATATAAAAAAATTTACATAGAAAGTTACTATATTTTTTCATTTATAAAAGCTTTTCTATTTTGCATTTGCTAAATTAAATAATTGACTTTTATACTTCATTAAAGCCAAGAAAATCAATTATTAGCCTACTTAATGTCTTTTATTTTCTGTTCAATTTTCAATTCAATTCAAAATGTATTTCTATAGTACGGAGCCCTGCACATGAAAAAAAAAAATTATTTATAAATTATAGGGTTAGTTCACCTAAAAATGAAAATTCGGTTCATTTTTGTGGCATTTTTGGGTGAACTAACCCTATAAGAATTCATTCCCACAACTTTTTTCAAAATTCGTTTCCACATTTTATAAATTGATTCCTGTTTTAGTTCAATCGTGGCCACATTGTACACTGCAGAAAAAAGTCTGTAAAAATACAGCCTCATGTTAATATGAAGGAATTTTCCATTTAGGTGTTTCACAGGTGCTTTACATGTATTTTGAATTATTGCATTGTGTTGTGTTTTATGGTTGAAGGAAATGTCCATACACAGATAACATTAAGGCCTGGTTTCACAGACAGGGCTTAGATTAAGCCAGGATTAGGCCTGATTTAATAAGGACATTTAAGGTACTTTTATAAACGTTCATTAGAAAAAAAACATTACTGGGATAAAAACATCTTGAGATAAACAATGGCACATATTTTACAGATATGCATATTTAAAGATATGCCAGTGCAAATTACTTTCAGCTAAAACAGCCCAAAAATGCCTTTTAGTCTAGGACTAGGTTTACGCCTTGTCTGTGAAACCAGGGGATAGGTCATTTTCTGCCAGAATATGATTTGTTTCTATAGATTTGTTTCTTACAGTGTAGTAATTCATTCCCTTGTTTTAATGTAGTTAAACAGTGACCACGATTAAACAAAACTGAGGGAACAAATTCTTAATTTGTGTCCACAATTCCTTGTTTTTCACAGAGAAGAAAACACATATTTCTATGGACCCCAGTTTGAAAACCACTGATCTAGATTATTAGCTTTTAAGAAAACACGATCACAAGACCTCAGTGTTCCAGTCTTATGTGTTCTTGCTGTTATCACTTCAGGTGTTGGACGATATTGGACTATGGCTAATAATCCTCAGACGATGGGCTCTGTGGAGGTAGAGATGAGTGCTTACGTGTTGCTTGCGCTGCTCTCGGGACCCTCTCTACCTGGATTTGGACTAAACTACTCTGCTGGCATAGTGCACTGGCTAAGCAAGCAGCAGAACGCCTATGGAGGATTCTCCTCTACCCAGGTAATGTTATTCATCTCATGCAGGTTTTTTTTTTGTTGACATTTGATCAGTTTTCTCATTATTGACTGTAAGTGGTGTCGCTCTCCCTCTCTTGCTGTGAACAGGATACTGTAGTAGCACTCCAGGCCCTCGCTAAGTACAGTGCTGCCACCTACAATCCAGAAGGATCTATTACCGTCACCGTGACCTCCCCCTTAGGCCAGAAAAACCAGTTCACCGTGAACCGGAACAACCGCTTGCTTTACCAGGAGAAACAGCTTCCGCAAACTAATGGCACATTCAAGCTCAGGGCAGAAGGAAAAGGCTGTGTGTTTGTGCAGGTCTGTGCGCTGCCTCTTATGATGCACAGTTTGAGAAGTTAAACGGATAGTTCACCCACAAATGAAAGTTGTCATTATTTACTCCTCATGTTGTTCCAAACACGTATGACCTTTTCCCTTCTTGTATGGATCCTATATGGAAGTCATATGGGATTGGAATGACATGAGGATGAGTACATTTTTGGGTGAATTATTCTTCTAAAAGCTACTGTAAGTGATGAAATCCTTCTGTTATTTGTCTCTCAGTTCGCCTTGCACTACAATATCCCGCCTCCTCCTGACTCGTTGGCCTTCAGCGTCAAAGCAAATACTGGGGTTTGCAACAACACATGGAACGCAGCTTTTACATTAACCACCACTGTCCGGTGAGCTATACTTCTGTTAGAAAAAGTTATTACTGTCTTAATTAATGGAAACAGCCCTCATGAGTATAGCACTTTTAAAATTTGCAACAAATTTCATTAGTCATATCATTATTTATCCTTTTTATTTAAATACTTAATATACATGCTATTATTATTTAAAGGGATAGTTCACCCGGAAATACATATTCTGTCATTATTTACTCACCATTATGTCCTTTCAAACCTGTGAGAGATATTTTGAAGAATTTTTACACAGCTCTTTTCCATATGAAAAAACAAAAAAAATAATAGTGACACACATGAGCTAATAAACCCTAAAACACTATAAAAGTATTTAACTATGCATGCAAATACTATAAACTAGCAACAAAAAAAACCCCCAGTAAATATGAAAAATATATACTGTTCAAAAATGTGGGATCAGTTTATTTCCCAATAAAATAATACTTTTAATTTGTGAGGATGCATTACACTGATCAAAAGAAACAGTAAAGACGTATAATGTTACAAAATTACATTCATAAGAAATGTTTCTTAAGCAGCACATCAGCATATTAGACTGATTTCTGAAGGATCGTGTGTGACACTAAAGACTGGAGAAATGATGCTGTGAATTCAGCTTTGCCATCACAAGAATAAATTATATTTTAAAATATATTCAAATAGAAAGCAGTAATTTTAAATTATAATAATATTTCACAATATTACTGTTTTACTGTAATACAGTAAATGCAGCCTTGGTGAGCATAAGAGTAAAAAAAAGAGTGAAAAATATTACCAACATTATACTTTTGAATGGTAATGACTATAAAAATAAATATATACTTTGCTGTCTTGTCAGACTACATGCAGAACAATGTGTGGTTGTGAACCCTGTTTGTGACTGTTGGAGCGATTGTATGACAGGTATGACGGCACACGAGAGGAGACCAACATGGTGATCATTAACATCAGGCTGCTGTCTGGGTTTAAGCTGGATGAGACGTCTCTGCTGGCTGTGAGTGACACTTGAAGGGCTCTGGTACTCTTTTGAACTCAAGTACTGCAGGCGGTGTTTGATTCGCTCTCTTCTCTGTCTCCACAGCTGAAGGAAGACCCCACCGTCAAACGAGTGGATCTGGACGAGGATCATGTCATTATATATTTGGATGGGGTGAGCGTATTAGATTTATTCAAATACCTTGAGGGGCTTGAAACATTTTTGGGATGGATTGCTGATATTGACACTATATTTCTATATGAAATCAAAATCGACCTGGTTTACGCACTGTAACATTTTTACACATTTATTTCTCTTCATAATCTTGCATCAAAATGTTTCATTTAAATAAAGGTTTGAAATCTTTTTGGCATAGGTGGCAATTTTTATTTTAATTTTTACAATTAAAGGGATAAACTCAATATGAAATCAAAAGGAACCCCGTGTACTTGACACACGTTTTTATGTTCGTGCCCCATAGCAAATAAATCTCTTTGTAATCTTGCATCAAAAATAACTTTCTGTTCTTGTCCAGCTGAAAAAGAAGCAGGTGAAGACCATCAGCCTGCAGCTCCTGCAGGACGTCCTGGTGCAGAACCTGAAACCAGCTGTAGTGATAGTCTATGATTACTACAAGATCAGTACGTGTTCATTCATCGCTGTGTACTCTAAAAAGTCTGAAAAGAAATGCAAGAGGGTTTTTATTATAAACCCAGCAAAAATGATAATAAATGTAAAAAATATAAGTAAAAATAAATAATTAAAATGGGAAAACCTATTTCCATTTTAATGTTTGAGATTTTCGTTTTTCATAAATCTTAGTGACCTCATGATATAAGTGTTGCGTAATTGTGCTTCACGAGCCTGTATTTAATCTTAGGATAATACATTTTTATTTTATCGGGGCAAGCTCAACAATGTAGTGCACAAGAAAAGACTATGTTGTGTTTCTATTCCTCCAGGTGAATTGGCTGTGATTGACTACACCTCCCCATGTGCATAAACACTACAGTAAGTACAGTAATTGTTGACCAGGTTCTATAAAAATCCATAAGCATATTTGAACTATTGAATACCCAAATCCATGTAAAGACATTTATAATGTTATAAAAGATTTCCATTTTAAACAAATGCTGTTCTTTTTAACTTTATTTATCAAAGGATCCTGAAAAAAATATTATCATGGTTTCCACAAAAATAAGAAAGAGGCTAAACATAGAATTCAGAAACCCTTGTTATTAGCGATACCGTTGGCCGTAAAGTGAACTGCAGCTAGGCTTGTGCTAGCACACGTAACGTACGAGAGACTGAACCTAGTTCTGCTTCACTGGCATCATTTTGACAGGTGAGGTCATTAAAATGACACTGTTATGATAGTTTGATTATAAAGTTGAGATTATAGTTTGAAATAATCCCTTCTCTTTGCATGACACATTGACATTACAGTACAGAATAGGTCTTTCGGCCTATCTTGAACATAATCATTTGTTTCATGTGTCATATGGAAGAGGTTCTCGGGAGCGCGCGTAAACGTCACATACTTTTTTTGATTTTCCTGGCAAAAACGGATATAAAACCTATATAAAAATAAGTTTGCAGGCTTTCATAGACAATCTAGGAAGTCAGGGAAGGTCTAGTTTTTTGAGTTTCATTACAAGCTGTTCACACATTGGCAACTAAGAAAATTATTAATTCATGAAAATTCTTACTTATAGCCCCTTTAAGCTGTTTTCAACATTGAAATTAAGAACCGTCTTGAGCATGTGGCTTTGCTAAAAGATTGATCTGTTGTTTTTCAGATGATGATCTGAAGTGCTGATGGCTGAGTGTATGGAGAGACTGAATTAATACTTATTTGAGCTATTTTTCTATAACTTGCTTGTAAAAATGTCTTCTAAAATAAAAAATATAGCATCACTGAATTGATTATGCATTTTAGTTGCTATTAAACAATCTGACAATTTTTGCATCTGAAACATTTGCGTCCTGTTTTTATTTATAATCTACTGTTATTATCATTACTGTACATGTCTGGATATTAAAAGAATAAACTAGACCTTAGGGTGCATATTAGCCCTTTGATGCATGAATTAAATCACTGCAGAAAATCACAACCCAACCCACATTTCAAAGCACTTGATGTTTTTAGAAGTACAACTGATAGGACATTGTGGATTAATTCATCTCTTCTTCTGGTTCAGCAACTTAAGTTTTAAACAAGATTTTATCGCCAACACATAAAAGCTGCTTTCAAACTTTTTGTTTACTGTTGTAACACCCAATGATATCTTGTACCGCATTCCCCCTTGAGTCTTTAAAAGTAGCAGTCAAAAACATTTCAAAACCACTCAGATTCTTGATCCTCTCTTCTTAGCGGCAAGAATTCATCTTTCAAAATGCCTGTTAACTTCAGTAATATCATGTTAGAATGCTAATTGTGAATATTCTCCTACTTCTGCCCACTAAAACGGTGTCAGTTTCACAGCGTTCCAAGAATTACCAAATAATTTGAGTAAACGATCCCAACAAATTGCATCAGCGAACAACTCACATCAGAGACTAAAGTGTACAGTAAACCCCAAACCGTTCAATAAGTATTGCCTACATATTGCTCAAAGACTGAACTGATACTCACTCAAGTTTTTTTCTTCTCAAAGTTTGAATTCTAAAGAGATTGAAATTGTTTTCAGTTCCGCCATGCAGCAATTTAGTGATAACCTTCATTTGAAAGGCAGTTTTCACATATTTGTTGAAATTATTATACGGCAAAATATAACTCTGAACCTAATGCAAACTTAAACATTACTTTTTTTGTCCAGAACCTGGCTTATATGTAAACAGCTTGATTTAGCTTTGAAAAAAAAAAAAACCTTCCCCATTGTATCCTACAAAAAATTTTAGTCACACAATCCAGCATTCTGTTGCTGTTCACTTCTTTAAGTGTATGAAAGAGTATTTTCACGCACTGCCAGCAGCATATTGCACTTCTAAAATATGGCTTTATGACATTTCTTTCAAGGTTAATTTATGAAACAGTTATGCAGTGTGTTGTAGAATCAAAACAAACCGTCTTTGGTTAAACTTACTGTAGTATATCTTAGCCGCAGCTTTTTAATTTAGCATGCGACTCTTGTCTGGTGTCATGAAAACAACACAGTTGCTATGATGCAAGACTTCTGCTTGTGTTGCATTGTTAATTACAGCAGTGAGGATCACTTGCCCTTTTACATCTGAAGTCCGAGTTTAGTTGTGACCTCTGGGCTACGGTCTTTCCCGCAAGGGTGTGTTTTGTGTGTGTTAGCATAGCTCATTATTAGGCAAATAAACACAAAAAAACACTTGAAACAAGGAAAACTGTGACTGTATTCATGTTCAACATTTTACAACACTGTTTTCAGCTAGTTGTGTGATAGTACTCGGACATCTTACACGCAAAATGAAGACTAATTATTCACGTTGATTTGAGATCTCTGTAGATTTCCGTTTGGTTTCAGGAGAGAGCAGAACACTGGTTGGTCTTTTTTTTTTTTAACAGTGTCGTAAATGCTCGATAACATCGCTAACCATAAATAAACATTTTATTTCCCCCAAAACAAACACAAGGTTGGGCAGACTAGTTTAAAAGCCTGCCTGTCAACATTAACAATACTTGAAGAGCTACTCAACCCTTTGAATAACTCCTTAAATTGTATTAAAGCAGTATCGGACTGATTTAAATAGGTCATCTTTTTTAAAATTACAGTATGTGTCTGTTCACAATCTCCTAAAACAGTAAAACCCACTGTGTGTATCACATGAAATAATGGTGCGGTCACATTTACTGTTGTTTGGCAGATTTTCTATAGGAATCCACACAATCGGAATTTTCGCATGAGGGCGAAAGAATTCCCCACAAAAAATTTGCGATTCACGAATCTTCCACATTGACAAACAGAAAGCTGTTTGGTTCGAAAGCGTCTTCTGTGTGAGCTGTGCTTCGTACATTGCTACAACTATTGACCTTTTTAGTGATTTTTTCTAATGTGACCGCACCTTAAGCCTGTGATTCCAGCAATTTTTCACTAGTGTCACAGTTCAAATATTAAGAGTGACAAATATGGGACAATATCAAGGCACTGCATGACTTGCATGATTATGATGTTGTTTCGTTTTCTCCTGTTTGTGGCAATTATTCCAAACTCTCATAGGCTGGCAGTGATAGGAGATGGCTGCCTCCCTTGGGAGTCAAATCACATGATCAAGTTGTCAGGACTTGGCAAATAGACTCTACTGTTGTATGTGGTGTGTGTGTGTGTGCATGTGTTTGAGGTTCTGTCTCTAAAAGAATAAGCTGGGAACACAGTGGGATACAGTTGTACAGTTGGAGTCGCTGATGTCCCTCTACAATAAATATAGACTCCTGAGCTGGTAGGTGAGCTTTGGTGGATTAAGTCTTTGTTTCAGTGATACGGGATCTTTAAATGTGAATAGTATACTCTTGTAAATTTAATTTAAAACGTACTGCAGTATTCTCTCAAAATATTCTCTCGCCATTTCGCGTCGGTCAATCTCATCGAATTTTTTAGCGCAATACTATTCCAGAATGGCTTGATGTCATTTGGCATTTTTCCCATTATGTTTGAAAGGACAAATAGTGGGGCAAACGTTACAAATGAAAGTCTATTACATCTTTCTGCACATCCAGACAAGATAAACTGCAACTGAAAAATATCTCTGACGGCAAAAAAGGCATTTTGGAAGATGGCGAGTGAGCCACCACCTGCAGGTTTGGTTCACCGGGTCTTTTCGTCTTCTAGAGCTCCCTTTTTCAATCCAGGCAGACGTGGAAAACCTCTGGTGGATATCTGTCTGTGCAGCTGAGTGGATATATAACATCTTCAGGAAACACGAGAAGAAGAGAAAAAAGGAAGTAGCAAAATAACGTTTTTCCTCTCGTTGGGAATAACAGGTATGGGTTATTTAAAGTCTCCCTGCCGAACGGTTTCCGTTTTGACGTGCGGGTCAGTTTTTCTCTCAGTTCATGAACTGCGTGTAGCCCTCGGCTCCTGTCACGATCACATCCATCCAGATCCTCATGGCCTCAGCGGAGGGGGCCACCATGAAATACAGTCTGTCGTGCGTCTTCACACAGAAGGTCAGGGAGGGGTTGGGGCTCTGCATTTAAAAAGACACAATCAGATCAGTGAGGGAGCCACGTATGAAGCGCATCTTCTATTCAGGCAGGGCATGTGCATTATCTGCTATTTATTCATTAGGGATGGCAATTTTCAGGATTTTTTCCAAATTGACTAAATAAAATTGTATTAATTAATCATGCAAAGCGCATGTGGAGGACTCCAAATACTACATGCACTATTTTAACTATAATTCACATAAATATAATAATAATATAAGGAAATAGTATAAGAAAAATGATATATTTTTATTTTGATAAATGTATTTTTAATACATTTATATTTAGTATGAATCCAATTTAATATAATATAGTTATAGTATAATTTTTCAAGTATTAATAATATAATGTGTATGAATAATGCAGATAACATTTTATTGTGTGAATCATAAGTCATTTTATACTTTATAATACATATATTTAATAACTACAATCAAAATGATTATACTTATGATATAAATATAATAATACATTTTTTTAAATATAATTAAACAAATGTACTGATATTTAAAGTATCAGTATTTTCATCTTAATGTATTTAGAATCAATCAAATAGGTATAATTTAATTTAATGTAATTTACTAATTTTATAAGTATTGATGATAATTTGAATGGATAAGTGGATTATATAACATTTCTGAATAATATAGTCATTTAAATATACAAATATTTTATTTATTTCATATAATGTTTCACATTTTGAACTTAAGTTTGTGTTTATTGTAGTAAAACTGATATTGTTTTCTAATGTCTTTTGAATGTGTTTGTCTTCATGCTCTCGGCATTCAATAATTCAACAAAGCTTGTTTATCTCGCTGGACGTGACCCTGCATGTAATGTAGTCTTGGTTGTATTTTCTTTAACCTTATTTAGTTTTGCTCATGGTTTTGGAGGATGAGGTCATGTCACACTCATGCCTAATTTGGCTGTTTCTATCAAGTGACAGATACATTGGCACCAAAATGCTGCAGTGTTTGATTGGATGCACTGCCTTTGACCCAGCCTGTTTAATTTATTTTACAGCTTATCATCCCATTGTATTCTAACACATTATTATGGCATTGGTGCTCCTGATTACTTTGGGCCTGCCACTGTAAAAAAAAACTGTAGTTTTACGGAATTTTACTGTTTTATTTTACAGATTTTTCATGTTTTTATTAAATGTGGTAAAAAAACGTCTAATTACAGAAATAGACTGCAAATGTACATTTCCTGTGTAAAATTACATGAAAAACAAACAAATGTGCATAACAAAAAAATAGATTTTTTAAAAACATTATTATTGTTTTTTTTTTTACAGAAAAAATACTGTGAAGACATTCAAATGTATAAATACTTCACAAATATATATAAAAAAGTTTTTATATTTATATAATATTACATAATAATTAATAGATTAGCATTTATATACCTTTTACCGGAATGAAAAGAGAGAAATAAACATTGTTTATGAAATTGGTCTGTTAATTAAGACAAGTTTATTCAATTTTTAGTTATTTATTTATTTATTAGGTTATTTGATTATAACATTGTACGTCATTGACTGTGTAAAAGAGCCTGGTGAATCAGTTTTTGAACCGGTTCGTTTTAACGACCTATCCGAAAGAATCAGGTCCATCACTTCTACGACTGTTCGCAGCGGACATCTTGTTCCGCTTGTCAAAGTAGTTCTGCTGCGTTCAGTGTTTATTACGCATTTATTCTCATAATATTATAATATAATATCATATAATAATACATTATTTCTTTAAGTACGCTGATATTTAAATGACAGATTTATTGAGATTTAAAAAATTCGAACTGAAGGAATTCCCGACTTGGCGCAAGGATACAATCCCTTCTAAGCACACAGTGGTGGGATAACTACGCGCGCGACAGGTCACAGAAATCACTCGACCTTGGACATCTTAACCGTCAATCTTGGATGTGAAGTGATAAGCAGGTAAAATTCATGTTTTCTAATTTCATCATTACTATATGTGAGATATTTGGACATTTTTTTTACCGTTTATCGTGTTGACTGTGTTTTAAACTTGGGCGCAGGCCGGTAACGTTAATTATTTTAAACCTTGACAATGTTTAAAATGCAGGTCTTGGTTGATGGTATAACGTTACGTTACCGTGTTACTTTACGTTTTTCTTCTTTTTGTTTGATTTTAGCCAAGTCCTACTTCAAAGTTTTGTAATTTTTAGGATTTTTGTTGCATTTTATTACCATCTAAGTTAACGTTAGGCCCATTTTTCCACCTGAGGTAAAACGTAACGTAAGTTAGGCTATTTGCCAAACAGCCGTCGACGAATCCCGCTATTTTTTCGATGATATTAGGCCTACGTATATATTCCACTTGCCCAGTAGCCTAATATGTAGCGTTAAAGTTATATATTAGTCGTATGTGTCGTCTTAAAGCTAAAAATAGCCGTTTTCCGAGGCGAGGTTGGATACGTTCATCATTAAGTCACCCTTTACTTCTGTCTATGGGGTTTTCAAGTAAGTTAACGTTATTTAACCAATGAAAAGTATTAAAAAGAGCTTGTGACTAAACTGCTTGACTCCGTTGGACCTGTCAGTCAACCCCCAACTCATGAGGAGCTTAGTGATGGGTCGGTCATTAACGAATCGTTTAATTTGAACGAATCTTTCATATGACTCGGGAACACCGGGGCTGTCACGTGATGAACGAACGACTCGAGTTTGTGGGGTGTTTTTTTTAAATGATCTGATTCAAACAGTTGAATGCACTAGTAGTTAGTCAGTTTAGTAGCCATGAAATTAAAAGTGAAAATTATAACTTTTTTACAGAATGTTGCAGTGCTGAATGAGTATAAATGAGTTATCCATGCACAATATTATTTTTTTCCTATATTAATATGCCCTTGTAATCTTTCATCAAAAACGCTAACTACTTAAAACGCTAAATTACTTTAGATACAATAAAATGTATAATACATTTATCAATATATTTCTTAGAATTTTTGTAGATTTCTTAACATGTTAAGATAATTAACAACTAACATGCTTGTTTTTGTTTCTCCCTGCAGATAAGTTGCGTGAGCTGCTAAAATCAAGATCAGGGGGGAAAGGTGACCATTGCACCATGTAAAGATGTTTGCAGATTACACTTGTAATAGTTGTAGTGTTTCTGTGAAAACCCTAAAAGGTTATGTACAACATCAACATCATGAGACAGTTGGCATGAAGACTCATTTTAAAGAGCTTACAGGAATGGACATTGATAAAAGCATAGCAAGTAAGTGTGCAAGAGTTGTGTCCTACTTCAAGTGTAGTGACAAGACAGCAAAGATGGAGACCATCTTCAGAGAAATGTCACAAGAATGTCTTCACAAGAATGTGGATGATGTCAACACTGCTGGGTTTCTTCAGCTAGTTCTCAAGTACTTCAGCGAGAGAGAGGACCAGATGTTCTATAAAGTGGATCAGACAACCCTGCCCTCTGAAGTGGACTGTGCTGAACTTCCAAGGACACCCTGCATAATTGTGTGTGGTATGTTTGAATATTTTTAAAGTACAACTATTTTAATAATTTTTTCTAATATTTAATAATTACTGAAATGTATGTTCTTTGGGCTCAGTTTGTCACAGTGCTAAAGATCCCTTATTTTTTCTTATGCATATGTTACAACAGGAAGTTCTCCTTTGAATGCAGAGTACTTTTTGTTATCTGTGGACCAAGTGATAGTTAACAGCCACATCACCATCTTCAGTGATGCTGTCAGGTTGATGTTTGCCTCATACTACTGCTTGAACTACTGCTTGAACATTTCATACCCAGCAGACCAAGGAGCAACCCTGGAGTTCTTGCAAAGGTAAAAAAGCAGCAATGTCAGTCAACAACCTATCACATTCTCTGTCTCACACAACGTCCTCGCACACTCACTCTCTCAATCACTCACGCATCCTCACATACACTCTCTCTCACACATCCTCACTCTCACCCACATACGCTCACTCTCACTTTCTCACACATCCTCACATACACTCTCTCTCACACATCCTCACTCTCTCACCCACATCCTCTCATACGCTCACTCTCACTTTCTCACACATCCTCACATACACTCTCTCTCACACATCCTCAGTCTCTCACCCACATCCTCTCATACGCTCACTCTCACTTTCTCACACATCCTCACATACACTCTCTCTCACACATCCTCACTCTCTCACCCACATCCTCTCATACGCTCACTCTCACACACATCCTCACACTCACTGTCACACAAATCCTCTCACTCTCTCACCCACATCCTCTCATATGCTCACTCCCACACACATCCTCACACTCACTCTCACACACATCCTCACACTCACTCTCTCACACATCCTCACTCTAACTCTCTCACCGACATCCTCTCATACACTCACTCACACACATCCTCACACTCACTGTCACACACATCCTCACATACTCTCACACACATCCTCACACTGACTTTCTCACACACATCCTCACATACACTCTCTCACACACATCCTCACTCTCAATTTCTCACCCACATCCTCTCATAGGAACACATCCTCACACTCAATTTCTCACCCACATCATCTCATACACTTACTCTCAAACACATCCTCACACTCACTCTGTCACACACATCCTCACATACACTCTCACCCACATCCTCACTCTCTCACCCACATCCTCTCATACGCTCACTCTCACACACTTCCTCACACTCACTCTGTCACACACATCCTCACATACACTCACCCACATCCTCACTCTCTCACCCACATCCTCTCATACGCTCACTCACACACACTTCCTCACACTCACTCTGTCACACACATCCTCACATACACTCACCCACATCCTCACTCTCTCACCCACATCCTCTCATACGCTCACTCACACACACTTCCTCACACTCACTCTGTCACACAAATCCTCTCACTCTCTCACCCACATCCTCTCATATGCTCACTCTAACACACATCCTCACACTCACTCACACACATCCTCACACTCACTCTGTCACACAAATCCTCTCACTCTCTCACCCACATCCTCTCATATGCTCACTCTAACACACATCCTCACACTCACTCACACACATCCTCACACTCACTCTCTCACACATCCTCACTCTAACTCTCTCACCGACATCCTCTCATACATTCACTCACACACATCCTCACACTCACTGTCACACACATCCTCACATACTCTCACACACATCCTCACACTCACTTTCTCACACACATCCTCACATACACTCTCTCACACATTCTCACTCTCAATTTCTCACCCACATCATCTCATACACTCACTCTGTCACACACATCCTCACATACACTTACCCACATCCTCACTCTCTCACCCACATCCTCTCTTACGCTCACTCACACACACTTCCTCACACTCACTCTGTCACACACATCCTCACATACACTCACCCACATCCTCTCATACGCTCACTCACACACACTTCCTCACACTCACTCTGTCACACACATCCTCACATGCACTCACCCACATCCTCTCATACGCTCACTCACACACACTTCCTCACACTCACTCTGTCACACACATCCTCACATACACTCACCCACATCCTCTCATACGCTCACTCTCAGACACATCCTCACACTCACTCTGTCACACACATCCTCACACTCACTCTCACCCACATCCTCATACGCTCACTCTCACTTTCTCACACATCCTCACATACAATCTCTCTCACACATCCTCACTCTCAATTTCTCCCCACCATCCTCATACGCTCACTCACACACATCCTCATACTCACTCTGTCACACAAATCCTCTCACTCTCTCACCCACATCCTCTCATATGCTCACTCTCACACACATCCTCACACTCACTCTCTCACACATCCTCACTCTAACTCTCACACATCCTCACTCTAACTCTCACACACATCCTCACACTCACTCTCACACACATCCTCACACTCACTCTCTCACACATCCTCACTCTAACTCTCACACATCCTCACTCTAACTCTCACACACATCCTCACACTCACTCTCACACACATCCTCACACTCACTCTCTCACACATCCTCACTCTAACTCTCACACACATCCTCTCATACACTCACTCACACACATCCTCACACTCACTGTCACAAATCCTCTCACTCTCTCACACACATCCTCTCATACACTCACTCACACACATCCTCTCATACACTCACTCACACACATCCTCACACTCACTCTCACCCACATCCTCTCTTACGCTCACACATCCTCACTCTAACTCTCACACACATCCTCACACTCACTCTCACACACATCCTCACACTCACTCTCTCACACATCCTCACTCTAACTCTCACACACATCCTCTCATACACTCACTCACACACATCCTCACACTCACTGTCACAAATCCTCTCACTCTCTCACACACATCCTCTCATACACTCACTCACACACATCCTCTCATACACTCACTCACACACATCCTCACACTCACTCTCACCCACATCCTCTCTTACGCTCACTAACACACATCCTTACACTCACTCTCACACACACTCACACACATTCTCACACTCACTCTCTCACCCACACACTCACTCTCTCACCCACATCCTCATACACCCACTCTCACACACACTCACACTCACTCTCACCCACACACTCACTCTCTCACCCACATCCTCATACACTCACTCTCACACACACTCACACTCACTCTCACCCACACACTCACTCTCTCACCCACATCCTCTCATACACTCACTCTCACACACACATACACATCCTCACACTCACTCTCACCCACATCCTCATACTCACTCATACACACATCCTTAGCCTCACACTCACTCACACACATCCTCACATACACTCTCTCACACGCATCCTCACTCACTTTCTCATGTATACTCACTCTCGCACATCTCACACACCCTCAAATACGCTCTCAACATACACATGCACTCACAACATACAGTCTCTCTCACACACACAACACCCTCTCACATGCACATCTTTGTTGCCAATGTCCACTACAAGCATCCCCTGTGCATATTCCCACTATTCTGCTACTTTTATTGCTAATATATTAAGAGCATATTTTACAGTCCATGATTTATTACTGAGATTTCTTTTTTCTTTTTTATTCGACAGATGCCTTTTCAAGATAAACCCAGAGAAGGGATCAAAAGTAGAAAAGAGCACATCAAGAAAGCAACTGGCAGTCAGCCCAAAGGTGCTTTCACTGATTAACAAAATTGCAGACTATGAATGGATGGACTAAAAATTTTGGAAGAGTGACAAATCTGAGTGTTGACAATTTTTTATATTGGTGTATTGTTGTAGTTATGAACTAAAATGAGTTATACTAATGGTTATATTTGTATATTGTTGAATTAAACATTAAAAATCTACTGGCAGTTAGTCCAAAGGTGCTTTCACTGATTAACAAAATTTTTGAAGAGTGACAAATTTGAGTGTTTAATTATTATTATTTTATTTTTTTTCTAATCTTATCTGTTGACAAATTTTTATATTTGTGTATTGTTGTAGTTATGAACTAGAACGAGTTATACTTAATGGTTATATTGTTGAATTAAAAAGGATGTGTGAGAGCTCAAGAAAATACAGAATGTTATGTAAAAACTGTATTTAGAGTTATACTAATTGTTATATTGGTATATTGTTGAATTAAACATTTAAAAGGGATGTGTGAGAGCTCAAGAAAATACAGAAAATTTTATGAAAACTGCTTTTTGAATAAAGGAAAATTACTGTAATTTTACGTGTTGGTTATTTTCTGTAATTTGACGGTTTTTTTCCGGCACCCCAGCTGCCGGAATTTTACCGTTTTTTTACGGGGATTTAAATAAAGGAAAATTACTGTAATTTTACGGATTTTTTCTGGCACCCCAGCTGCCGGAATATTTCCGTTGTTTTACGGGGATTTTTTTTACAGTGTGTTTTTAAAGCCAAAGCTGCTTGTATGTGTACGTCACATGCAGCACAAGCAACAGCTGCACGTGTTTACTGATCTCTCTTGAGCTCAAATGGAGTCATTGAAAGTCATACCACTTAATTTATAATAATTGATTAATCATTAACATCTCTAATTTCAACACATCTGCATAAGTAGAGTAGGAGGTGCTTGTTAAAATATGATAATTAGTTCTCCTCACCAAAACACTCAGTATTAAAGTGGATTTCAGACCATATTACATCACTCAATAGGCAAATAAATCTATTCAAATGACAAAGGGATTCTTATAGATGCTTGTTTCCACCACAGAATAATAAGGTAACTGCGACTTTTTAAATATCTCAATTTTTGAAATATCTCCATCTCATTTTTTTTTGTGCGATTGCAAGTTTATATCTCACAATTCGGACTATATAACTGACAATTGCGATTTGAACTCAGATTTTATAAACTCGCAATTGCAAGAAAAAAGTCAGAATTGTAAGATAATTTGCTCACAATTGCAAGTTTATATCTCACTATTCTGACTTTATAGCTAACAATTGCTAGTCAGATTTGCGAGATGTAAACTTGCATTTGCGAGAAAAAAGTCAGAATTGTGAGATAAAAGGAATTACGTTTTTATTTGCATGTTTACATCTTACAATTCTGACTTTATAACTCGCAACTGCGTGTCAGATTTGAAAGTTATAAACTTGAAATTGCGAGAAAAAACATGAGATAGTCAAAATTACTTTTTTTGATTGCAAGTTTAGATTTCAAAATTCGGACTTTATAACTTGCAATTGCGAGTCAGAATTGTGAAATTAAAACCCGTAATTGCGATAAATAAAAGTCCTGTGAGATAAAGACTTAATAACTCGCAATTGTGAGATATAAACTCGCAGTTCTATAAACTCTGATAAAAAGTCAAAAATTACAGTTGTGAGAAAAAAGTCTGAATTGTGAAATAAAAAGTGGCAATTATATTATGGCTTCCAGTTAATGCCGGTTAACCTATCACAATATGCAACATGAAGCTGATGGTGTATAATATACCACACAACTGCTTCTGTGAGGTTATTACATTATATACACACTTATCATCTCATCACAAGTGGGAGTAGCAGAGAAACACTTAAGGGAAATGCACAGGTTGTAAATTACATTATACTCTCATCCTCAGTAACTATGCGAAAAAACAAATATCCACTTTAAATACAGGCCTATAGTTCAGTTATTTAAAACAACACAACAAGGTATGCGTTAAGTGTGTGAAAAATGCAAGAATTAGAGCAAATTTTCCTTTGAGCAAACATGCAGGATAGGGCGATAGTGGTGGAGAAGTGATACGTACGTTCGTCAAATTCAGATTGAAAAATCCTTTCTGTGAAAACAGTCGGCAAAGCAAAAGAATGAAGAAAAAGAAGGGTGGGGAACATTGACAGCAGAGTTACAGCATAAGAGACAAAAACGAGAGGAAAGAAGCAAACAGAAAAAGATCAAATGAAATGGTGCAATAGGAGTGCAGAGCAGAAAACCAGCGGGAGATGTGAGCTGTGCTTATGCAAGGGTCTGATGGAGGGCCGTACCTTTGTGGCACTGCGCAGGTGATCATAGTAAACCTCCTCGATAGCCTGGAAGTAGATGACGCCCTTCAGTTTGCTCTCGTGTTTATCTGTGAACGGGACAACAGAGATGTCACGCAGCGAAAAATCGTTCTCTTAATAAGAATTTTATTGCAATATTTCTGTGTTTTTAATATCAAAACGAGATACATTAACCCAAAAAGCAAAAGCGAATAAGAACATCTCCGAAAAACAAGCCTTTCCAAGTATTTTTACTGGAAAACAAGGCAAAACTACTGATTAGCACAAATGTTTTGCACAGCGAAGGTTTCAAAACCAAATAAGCCCCCACTCCCCTCGAGAATAATGATCTGGTAAGCACCGATGTGACCTTGTTACTGCAGTGCAACCCCTTCATTTTCAGTCCGCGTAAAAAAATAAAGAGCGAGAGCTCACGCTTTGCCGAGCGCCACGGCTGGATGATGAGCACGATTTCCTCAGCATTGCGGCAGATTTCATCACCATCAGATAGCATGCGGACGGGCTTCTGGTTATTTGTATGCCCCTAGCTAACCCGAGGCTATCGGAAATCATGGCAGCCACTGTGAGCTTAAGAATTACTAATTATCCGTATCCCCCCACTGCTGGATTCACCCACAATCCACTCTTTGTTCTGCCCTCGTTTCTTTCCCCAACCTCAGGGGGACCAAAGCGTAACGACACGTTTGCGGAGTTGCATTAGCATAGTGCACAGTAAGGAGGATGCTGGGAGGCGACGCTGCGGTACACATACCGGCGTAGTAGGAAAACGTCCTTTTAAGGCGATCAAAGACGAACCAGCGCTTCTTCCAGGATTTGATCTTCCCTCCCATCTTGACAAGATAGCCCTTGCACATCTTTTCGGTGAGAATCACGTGGTAGCACGTGTCCACGCTGTGACCTGAGGACTCGATGTGGGAGCGGAGGTCAAACTCCTCTTTGCGAATGGGCAGGTATCGTGTCATTGGACGGGCCTGGAAATCAACAAGATGTGGTTCATATTTTTGTTATAAGGATTAATGACATGACATGTTTTTTTTTTGTCCTATCAGTTAATTGGTAACATTTTACAATAAGGTTTCATTAACTACTTTAGTTAACAAGAACTAAGAATGAACAATTCTTTTACATCATTCTTTAATCTTAGTTAATGTTAATTTCAACATTTACTAATACATTATTAAAATCAAAGTTGTATTTGTTAAAGTTAGTTAATGCACTGTGAACTAACACAAACATACAATGAACGACTATTTGTATTAACTACCATTAACAAAGATTAATACATACAGTAATAAATGCATTGCTCATTGTTAGTTCACATTAATTGATACATTAACTAATGTTAACAAATGGTACCTTATTGTTAGGTGTTGCCAGTTAATTTATAAAAAAAAATGCAGTTCATACATTCCATCATTTAAAAACACCTCTTTTATGAGGAACATGGTTTTAATTTTCTGAATTAAAATTCTTTTTGATATTTTTTGGTTTGGCATGAGGTAAGAAATGTCAGGGTGATAGAACAGTCCTAAAATCACTTTTTTTTTTTTTTTTTAATGCAATGACAATTACATGACAACAAAATTCTAGTTAGTAACATAATCCATTACATTACACATTTTAGGTAATATAACCTGACTACTTTTTGGATTAATTTTAGATTGCTTTTGACCCAACTCATTTATCACATTGAATAGGAAAATATTGTACCATATTGATATAAAAAATACAAAGAGGGGAACAAAATTCCATTCTTTGTTAACAACATGAAGTGCATTAAACATTACATTACGTCAGTTCGAGATTCGAAACTGGGGTTCGAGATTTTAATGAAAATAAATAATTTAATGATAATAATAAAAATAATAAGAAGTGTTTGAAAGACAAAAGCCTTCTAAAGACATAGCAATACATGGTTAAATGACTTACAGATTGATAATTCAAATAATAGTTTATGTGTTTGTCAGGAGTTGATTCGATATGCAATGTTGCGAAAACACTCCTTAAAAGTGAAATGATTTCTGTAAATCCAGTGGTCAAATGTTTGTGGCCTCAAATGTAATTATAGGCTCCTGACAAGTGTCTGGTCTGTGTGGTGTGCAATTTCACATAACCAGAATACTTTGTATATGTAGATGTATATATATAAGCGATATATTTTTTAGAAAGGAAAATTTAAAACATGAAAAAGAAGAATAAGGGAAAAATCAATCAATTATGAAATATTTTACTGCCATTGTGTGAATAATATGCAATCATGTGAGCAATAAAAAGCGACTGTAGTTTGATTACAAGTATTTTAAAATGTAATACAATCTAATTACAAGTACTTAATTTTTTGGAATCTGATTACATAATCTAGATTACATGTAATCAGTTACCCAGCACTAATTACAAGGTAGACAAGGTACAATTGCACTAACAACATGGAGAAACAGAAAAAACAAAACAGACCCTCATGGTGACTGTCTAGGTCAATATCATTTTGTCTTGTGGACTATTATGTAAGCATAATTACTAATGAAAATGATTAATTAAATGACAAATTAAATAAAAAACTATGTGTGCACTCTCATGTAAAGTGTACGAAAATGTTTTTTTTTTTTTACTTGATGGTTACACGTGACATTTTTAGAGTCAATAAAAATGGTATACATGTTTTTCAAAACCATATGACATTCAAATAACCTAATTAATTAAGTGCACAAAATGAATCCGTTAAATCGTCAGTCCTAGTAGAATCCCAATAAACTCTCGGCAGAGTAGAGAGCTGCGGCTCCTCACCTGAGAGAAGTTTTTGGCCCTCAACTTCACCTCCTTCTCGATCATCTGCTGTCTGTGTACCGTCTCCTCCTGCAGTCTCTTCTCCGCCACCTCCCTTCTTCTTCTCTCTTCCTCTAGCATGAGTTTACGGGTCTGAGTCTCTCGTTCCTGCGGGCCAAAAGAGGGCAGCGGCCGGTTATTAGACATGACTGAGAGTCAAGAAAGATGAATATTGTTAGTTGATAGTGACTGTATACAGATGCCACGACTCACTCTGGACTCAATGAGTCGAGCTTTCTCCAGATGTGCCTCCTTCAACATCTTCTCCATCTCTTCGATCTTCAGCGCATCCATACCACTGGCACTGTGAAACACATAAAACTTCAGTCAAAGTCTCCATCAACTATACTGAGGGGGGAATTCACTATGCATGTTTCAACCAAGACAGCCAGCCATTTAAATAGTCGTTGCGCAACCGTTCTTCAGTGAATTTACCCCTCGGTCATCTCTTTGGTGAATGATGGAATTGAGACCAGTAGCAGTGAGACTGGTGGATTACGAAACATTTCGTCATACTATATGAAAATACTGCTGGATTGCAAGCATCTGCCGTGAAACATTAAATGAAGCACATGTGGACTATAAACACAGAAAAAGAAAATGTGTAGTGGATTTCTCTTGAGAAGAATTCCAGACTCGCTTGAAGCTTTATAAAGACAAGAGTAAACAAACAGCTCGAGAACATTTCAAGTAAACAAACTCTCTCCTGAGAGAGAAACAGCTGAAGGCCGTCTGTTTGCAAAGCCGTTGTGCCCCGGTCCAGCTCCACTGCACTTTACAGGCGTTTGTTTACAACATCTTCACACATTTCCCATGATAAAGCTTGTAACTAAAGACAATATGTCAGTGTCCAATGAATTGAGAATGCCTTTGAAATTCAGGTATGACTATAAGAAAGTACACTTAAAATGGAATGACATCAAAGAAATTCATATTACGGCTATATTTGTAGGTTTTTTTAATACAATACCGTTGAAAAGTTTGGGGTCAGTACGTTTTTTTGTTTTTTTTAAAATAAATAAATACTTTTATTCCTTGATAGTAAATACATTAATATAGAGGGTATGCATTGACATCAATTTCCTGCCGGACTGAGTGGCAAAACATCCCGCAACATGACTAGTTTTAAATAGAGGAAACTGCGAAAATGGGAGTAAAACAAACGATCATCTTCTTAAATCAAAGGCAGTTGGACAGTGTTCCTCACAACTCACCAAAGAACCAGTGGTCCATGGACATTGACATGTTTCCAGGAATCGGGTTTCCTGACGTTTGCATGTACCTGATTTAGACACTGGTGAAATACATAAACTAAAGCCTGTGAATGCTTTATCTGCTAGACAATACTATCTAAACTTGCTTTGTAAGGAAAAAATAGGTTTACACTACCCTTTGTAGAACACAATGGTCATCATAATGGATGTTTTTTTTTAATAAACACGGACAAAAACTTTATTTATGCAGAATATAAGATGGTAAATATTTAATTGAGTTGTCAATACAATATATGACCTAGGGTGTGATGTTACCCCAAAATTCAACATATCTCTGACACAAAACAGTAACTGCAAATCCACTTTTCTCTGCCTCAGTAGTGTCTGTGAATTGCAGCGATCCATTTGCTTCTTTCCTGTAGCTTTCGGCAGTCTGTAAAAGACAGCTCTGATTTCTTGTTGAATCTATTTGTAGTCGATCGCACAGTTCTTTTCCATTTTAGAAGTGTTTTGTGTGTGTTATTCGTGGCATTCACAAAATGCTGCCACTCGCTCTTTTTGCTCCACAGTGGGTGTAACCGCAGTGACTCCCGCCTACTGTGACGTCTATTGTTAGAAAATTATTTCTATTTCAAACAAATGCTGATCAGCATGAATAAATATTAAATTAGAAAACAGTTATTTTAAATAGCTAAATATTTCACATTATTAATGTTTTACTGTATTTTTGATTAAATAAATGAAGCCTTGGTGAGTAGAAGAGAATCTTTTAACCCCAATCTTTCAAACAGTAGATTACATTTATTTTCAGTATTTTCTGAATTGCCCATAAATGTTACAAAACAAACACACAGTATATTAGGTAATTCCACAAAAAATCATTAATATTAATGTTAATTATCAATAAATTAGCTTTTAAATCAATTTTATATATTGTTTATGCATATACATGCATTTAATTATATTTAATAAATTAACTTTTATTTTATGAACCCTGATGCACTTCATCCCCAACATTTCACAGAATGCTCTAATTTACCCCAAAGTCTTCAAAATGGAGACAAACAACACAAAGCAGGCTTGCCTTATTAATTATGCATTTTTTTGTGAAGAAGAAAATCTGTAATGTGACTATACTGACTACTGATTTTTTTTTTGGAATTACAATTAAGAGCATTCGTTTTCCCGTCATTCCAAATCAAATTGCTTTCTAACATCCTCTGCGGCATGACCAATTCCCTTCAAATCACACTCATGAACTGAATTCTGAATTTCGCTCAACCTTGGTGTCACGTGTCAGGGTTTGCACCTCGTTAATTGTTGGTTTTGCAACCAATTAAACCCTTATTCGCTTTCTCATTTGGCTAATCTGTTATTTATACATTTCAGATTCTGATGAAAGTGTAGCAGGACACGTTATTGCCATATCTGCATTTGGAGAGAGGGGATTGATGAAGAGCAGAGACAGAAAAAAAAGAGGGAGTTCATTTATGACAGGAAGGGTGGTTAAGCAACAAACAGTAAAACCTCAGGCATGTGTTTATGGAAGACGCCTTTTCAGTTGTTGACGTCCTACGTGTGCTCTGACTGTCCCTGTTAAGTGGAAACTGACAAGACGACCGTTTCCACACAGCCCGTTTAACCCAGCAACAACCTACAAGCTTAAAGATGTGTCTTCACAAAGTTCCGTTTAACCCAGAAACAACCTAATCTGTAGCCTTAGGCATCAAAGTCGTTCATTTGTTCTTTCCTTTTCGCAATAAAGTGGGCGGGATGAAGCACGGTCGCTGCATTATGATTCATAGCTTCCCTACACACTGAGCTATTACATCCATGTGAATGTATCGAAAATATACATTATTTTACACATTTTCACATGGATGTAATGTAATATAAATTTATAATAATATATGCTACTGTTCAAAAGTTTGGGTTCATGAAGATATTTTGTGTGAAAGAAATGAATAATTGTATTCATCAAGGGGCACATTAAATTGATCAAGTGACAGTAAAACTAAGATTTCGGTTTCAAATTTTGAACTTTGTCATCGCAGGAATAAAATACATTTTAAAATATATTAAAACAGAGTTTATTTAAAATAGAATAAATAAATTCAAATAGAAAACAGATATATTAAATTGGAATAATATTTCACAATATGACTGCTTTAACTGTATTTTTTTTAACAAATAAATGCAGCCGTTATGAGCATAAGAGACTTCATTCCAAAAAATGTAAAAAATCTCACTGACCTCAAATTTGTGAACAATAGTGTACATTATAATTTTACATAAGCTATAATATTTATATACAATACAAATACTGTATTATTTCTATTTAAATTAATATAATTTGTCTTACTCAAAAACCCTGCATTTAAAACCCAATAAATGCAGTTTAAAATGAGAATAAATGATATGACCTTGGTTTACATATTAAAAATGAAAATTAAATAATTAAAACAAAAAATTTAACTGATTTTATATGAGCTTTAATAATAAAATTAAATAGAAAATGCTAATAAATGTGATTCATATACGCTCCCAATGATTTGGAGTCTCAATTTGGAGAGTACTCGCTAAAAGTCATTAAGCAGATGGTTGATAATTTATCTTGGGACAGGCATGTAGAGAAAAGCCACAGGGCCGCCACAAGTTCCTGTCACAGAGCCATTGGTTAAGCGTTCTGAGAAAATGATTTAGGAAAGCACATTAAAAAGTCGAACCTGGACATATTGTCAGGAGAGCAGGCCGAGTTGTTTCCAGTGGAGATGCTCGTGTCCATGCTGTCCGAGCTCTCCAGGCTGAGGGTGTCGTACGGTTGTTCCCCAGAAGAGGGCGCTGTGTGGTGCAGGATGGAGTGGTGCATGACTGGCGCGGAGGTTGAGGAAAAGGGAATGTTGAGATGTGTTTGAGAGCCATGGAGCGCCTCCCACTGGCACTGAGCCTCTACTGCAGCTTTCTGCTTCAGTTCGGCCAAACGTCTCCGCTGCTCCTCAATAACCTGCTGACCTGATGGAGATAACACACATATATGAGAGTCAGATCTACAGACTGGATAGAAGTGCCCAAAACTGAACAAACTGAGCATTTTATAGGTCAAAGATAGCTGCCAAACCCTCTTTTAGACAGACTACATACATAGTGCTTTGAAACCCAAGTGACTGCACATCCATTTAGGCTGGCACAGTTTGCCCACGATTTGCTCCATCATGCCGCACACATACACATATAAAATATGCAACGCATGTGTGCTGAATAAAAAGCCCAAGCAATACCTCTGATTCAAGATCCCTTTGTACACTACCAGTCAAAAGTTTAAACACATCTACTCATAATCTATTACATTTTAGAATACTGAAGTCATCGAAACTAAGAAAAAATAATAATGCAAAAATAAATAAATCATTGTGTCATCAAAAATTTTAACAAATTACAAATTAAATGGATACAATTAAAATAATAACTAAACGGAATAAACTAATTCAAAATGTATTCTCTGTTTGATTAGGGAATTATGTAGTAACCACAATTTTTTTTGTAAAGTAATAGTGAAAAAACAAAAATTAACCTGATAGAATAAAATAAAATGCTTTGATATGGAAATTATGTAGTAACTGCAAAAAAGTTAAAAAAAAAAAAAAAAAAAAGTAAGAATTTAAGTAATATTTTTTTTTTTAAATAAAGCAGAATCAAACTGTTCTTATAAGAAAAAAAATGTTTCGTCTTCAATCATAAATAGGATTAGGTTGAATGTATATTTGCATGAAAAGTAATTTCAAGCATTTAAGCATAACCCTCAAATTAAATCATAAGGTTTTGAGAACATTACAAATTCAGTTAACTTTTGACTAGCAGTGCAGCTTTCAAAAGAGCATGAAACCATTTATCTAAACTTTTTATTTATAGATTACCACTGATATCATCTTCCAATCCATGCACGATTAATCCCATACATAAGTCTAAAGAATGCCATCAGCGGAAAAAAGAACATTAGGGGTAAAATATCATTTGGACACTGTCAAGCCCATTCCTATGGGGGGAGGAAGTGCACAAAATGTTGAGTTAGAATTGAGGATGATGATTATGATGAACGGCAGTCCAATGCTACTACCTGTGGGACCGTCCGTACTGGAAGAGGACGCAAACATGGAGGGAAAGAATTCTGTTTGAGGGCAAGGTTAAAACAAAACCAAAGAAGAGAACAAAAGAAGAGATGGATAAATTGGCATCCCATGGTCACTATGAATATGAGGGGAAGAAAATCATGGTGGAAATTTTTTTTTAAAAAGCATGCGGGTTTGGAACAACATGAAGGTGAGTAAATAATGATATTTTCGGTTGAAATATTTCTTGAAGTTTGACGGCTCATCCGTTGTTTGTGTTGATTTTACAACCAGCTCTAAAATATCAGCTGTCAAGCTGTTGTTCTCATTACCTTTCTGCTGAAGAGCCAGCTGCCTCTTGGTCTCAATGTCCTGCAGGGTGGCTGCCAGGTTGCGTGGGAGACTCCCGGTGCTGTTGGCAACCATCAGAGGACTCTGGGTAAACAAAACAAACAATTATTTCCACCAGCATATTTAACAATAAGGAGGGGACTAAATTGCCACATTAAATGATGCAAGAGATTCTGATAACTGGGGAGTAAATGCACTATTTACCCTGGCAGAAGTGTTGCGTCCCAGCGTAGCCGAAGTGTAAGTAGGGGACAGACCAGCGCTGATTTTCGGTCTCAGTGACGATTGGCTGGTATCACTGTCCAGTCGAGAGCGGTACACCTGAAGGGCCAGAAAAACTTGACGTGAGTTGAAGTGATGCTTTTTCAAGTTACTAAACAGAGTAAAGGTGTAGTTCAACACAAAATTCGGTCTTCATTCACTCATTGCTAGTTTGAATGTAAGATTTAACAAGACAAACAATCCGTTATATGGTTTAAGTATGATATAGCACACATATTGCAAAAATTTAACAACTGTAGAATAAATGAAGTGAACTTGAGTGAACTACACCTTTAAAATTTGATTTTTTTTTATATCAACATTGTTAAAATGCTAAACAGGACTGCTTTTTTAAATGATTTTTTATAAGAAATTAATTTAAGAAATTAAAACTTTTATTCAGGAAATATGCATTAAATTAATCAAGTGACAGCATAGACATTTCAAATGTTACAAAAGATTTATATTTCAAATGAATGCTTTTTCCTTCGAAATACTCAAAAAAAAAAAAAAGTAGGCTATCACAGTTTCCACAAAAATATTAACCGGCACAACTGTATTCAACATTGATAATAATAAGAAATGTTTCTTGAGCATCATGTGACACTGAAGACTGGAGTAAAGATGCTGAAAATTCAGCTTAGCCATCATAGGAATAAATTGTATAAAAAAAGTATAAAACAGTTATTTTTAATATTTAATATTACATTTCAATTACACAATATTAATGTTTTCACTGTATTTTGGATCAAATAAATCCAGCTTTGGTGCGCATAAGAGACTTCTTTCAAAAACATTAAAACATTTTAATAGTAGTGTATAGTTTAACACACTTCACTGAACAATCAACTAACAAACATGCATGCATGCAGAACATTTTAAATTCTCTCATCATTCACTCACTCTCATATCTTTCAAAACATGGGGTGCGTTTCCTGTACAACGGCATAACTCGCTGCTTAACCACAATGGAAAGATGTTTTAAAAAAGGCCTTAAGACATTTCTTTTTAGCAAAGCTTTTGTCCTCTTTAGATGTTTGTTTTTTTCTTCTTCTAAAGAACTGGTTATCTTTTTTGTTTTTAACCCGTAGCACTTTGAGATCTTCTGATGAAAAGTGCATTATAAATAAAATGTATTATTATTATTATTTATGTATCGTTGGAAAAATTAACTAGCTAGTAACGACTGTTTTCCGAAATCATTATAACTTCATTGCACATCCGTCGTTCAAACCACATTGGTTCAACAATATAGTTAATATGAGGTCACGCAGGTGGTGGAGTAAAAACGTCTGCTAGTTAATCAGTTCGAGATCAAATTAATGTTTGATTATTGCTGTAAATAGTGACCATGGCATCTGAAGTCTGCTTTGTAATTTTTGTTCTCCATTGTTTTGCTTTATTTCCAGATAAATCACGTTCCCTCTTACATCACTCTTACACATCTTTGTGATGCTGTTTGCGAATGTTCGTTGGAACTATGGTTTCGGGAAACACAGAATCATTGGATTATGCTGATAACAACGAAACTTGCGACCATAGTTGGCTAACAATGCTGTTGGGAAACGCACCCCAGAATTATTCAGTTTTTTTTCTTCATGATGCACAAAGGGAGTTATTAAGCAGAATGTCCAAGCTGCTCTTTTCCATACAATAAAAGTGAATGGTGATCAAATCTGTCAAGCAAGATTTTAAAAGCATAATGACTTAAAATTCAGTCTGTTCCTCAAAGTGATTACATAGCGCGAAACCATTTTTATGTTTTTTTTGTTGTCCTTTTTGAACCTTGATTGCTTCTGGTCCCCAACACTCTCATTGCAAAAGAAGAGAGCAGCTCGGACATTCTGCTCAACTTCTCTTTTTGTGTTCCATTGAAGAAATGTTCAGGTTTGTAACAACATGAGGGTTTGTAAAAAGGGTTTAATTTTCAGGTGAACTATTACATTAACAAAAGGCCTTTTTTTCTATAGATGGTTCTCGACAAAATAGTGCAGGGGTCCCCAATCCTGTTCCTGGAGATTTACCTTCCTGCAGTTCAGATCCAATCCTGATCCAACACACTTGTCTATAATTATTAGCAAAGCCACTTGAAGCCAAGCCTGCAACCTTAGCCGAAAAAGCATAACGCCTGCTAACGTTGCGGTACGCAGGGAAGGACTCTATTTTTAGAGTTTACAAAAAAAAAGAAAAAAAGAAGCTATTTTATAAGATAAGTCACAGACAATTGCGCTACGGTATACTCATTCATTTCTATGGTATCCACAAACAGTGACTGATTGTCGCACGATTCTGAACGAAATTTAATGACGTCAAGGCTGTAATGTGATTGGTTATCAAGGCACACGTGATCCAAGTTAGCCGTTATGCTTTCTCCAATGGTAGAGCCATGGACCCTCGTAGCTCCCAATAATAAGACAATTTCTGTCCTGAAGATCATAATTAGCAGGTTCAGTTGTGTTTAATCAAGGTTGGAACTGAACTTTGCAGGAGAGTAAATCTCCAGGAACAGGATTGGGCACCCCTGCAATAGTACAACAACACAAGATGGCAGAAAACCTTGAGATGATGAACAGCCAAAAGCCAAAACAAACTAAATAACATGGAACTCACAAAAAAAACCTTACTTGGACATATAGTGAGGCCTATGAAGATGAAAATGTGGAAGAGCAGAAGAAGGTGAATGACAGCTGAGCTTTTGGCTGTTACCTGCACAGGCTTGCGTGATGACAAAGCTTTAGCCGGGAGGGGAGGAGGGCAGAGCTGGTTTACATCTCCAGCTGCCATAACCTCCTGGTACCAGCGATCTAAATCTAGAGCGGGCATCTGAGGCCTGCCCCAGTCCGACTGACGCTTTACACACGCAGCACATCCATTAGTATGAGTCAGAGAGCATGAGCAGGAGAGAGAAAGGTGGGACGGTGGAATGCCAGAGAGAGAAAGAGAAGAGTGTTAATGAGCAACTGAATGATTTGTACAATGACAGAATGAAACAGGTAGTTGGCGATACCCAGCCCTAGCAAGGAATCAAACGAGAGAGAACAGAGGAGAAGACACACACCTCAAAGGAGAGAGTGAGGGAGGAGCCATGAGGGGAGGGGAGGCAGGAGAAGGCGGAGTCTGCGAGAGAAGGATGAAGTAATTGGATGGGTGAGGTAGGGGAAGACTCCACCTTCGGCATCCCATAGATCTGGTTTAATTGGCCCACGGTCACATACTCCTGAAATCCAGGAGTGACAAACGGACACAGGCAGGAGGAAAAAACAGGAAGTAGCAGAGCAGGAAAGAGAGGACAACGTGTTATGGAGAGTTTAGCATCTGTAAAGAATGTATGTAACTAGAATACATGATTAACTATAACAAAGTTATTCAGTTCCCTATTTCTCAATACATAAACATCATCCATTATACCGTGTCCTAACCAGCTGCAACGCGCCAAATTTCCAGCGGCGGGTAGTTTATTTGTTCACAGTGAAAATGAAAACAGCTAATTAAAACATATTTGATGTTTAATATACAGTTATGTGGAGTGAGATTTCAATCAATGAGATTTCACTATGGGCAGAATTATCTAACAATGTTACAGAAACAGAAAAATGAATGACAAAATGCAGCTGGTTAGGACAAAACCTAACATGTAAGAGATCACCTTATTGCAACATGCCTAAAGATTGATCAGATACTTGGTCATTCTATAAAGCATGTCCCTTTATTTATTTATGTTTTTATTTTTTATCTGTTTCCAACTTGCAAATTTTAATGAAAGCAAAATATATTCTACCTTTATTATTTATATGCATATATTTCCCTTGAAATTTGATGAAAGCATAATTATATCCAAACCAGTGTTAATCTAGAATTATTTATATACTATTATAGTTTTTATTAACTATACTGTAAAGCTACGTCTTAGTGTTGCTTATCTTGGCGAAAGCCGAGTACAAATCAGCATGAAGTTTTAACATCTACTCTCGTATAATGGAAATCTATAACTACCTTTTTACTATTATATTATTCATATTAATTGTACTTAATTTTTTTTTGCAATTCTGTAATGAGAATTTGTCATTTTCATTAGTTTCTTTTTTAAAACATCTGAAATTTTGCTCCAAAGCTTTACTTAAATTTTGCTCCAAAGAATATGTGTAATTTATTTTATTTCTGCTTTATTTTAATTAACAAAAATCTTTGGTTTTAAATAGTTTTAGTTAATGATAATAATCTGAATTTATATTGTATTAAAAAAATACAATATATTCGCTGTATTTAGCTTGAGATGGCGTAGTGTAATTTTTTTAACACTTAGACACATTATTTGTCAGAATGTTTATGATAAATTATCTTCTCAAAATGGAAAGAGCACCCGATTCAAAGCATGACCCTACTATAATGCTTGGTGATGGTCATGTATATGATATATAGCAGAAAAAAATCTGTATCTACAACACAAAAGTAAGTAGCACTAAAGGGAAAAAGAAAGGGGAAAAGCTGAAGAGAGAGAAGCAGAAAGAAGAGAGCAGCTATGATACCTCACGGGGGGCAGTTACAGCTGGGTCAAGGGCAAGCGAGAGGCCATGTGAGGAAGCGTTGGTGAGCTGGATGTCATGGCAATCACTCCCATACATCTTATAAACATCCGACAGCTTCAAGTACTCCTGAGACACGTTAACAGCCAAATCATTCACGCAGGACAGAAGTTCAGCTGTCAGTTTATTCACATCCAAACCCCATAAGAGCAGTTATGTCATATTCATACACCTACAGTGACAGGTATGCCTTGCTCAACCGACAACGTCATGCCTCCATCTAACTCTTTAAATTTACAAATTACAAGTTAGCCCAACTACAGTCAAATTTTTTTGAAAAAGGTACTTTGAGTTTACTCAGTTTACTCTGCAAACTCTTAACAAAAAGTGGCTAACAGATTTATAAGTGCGTTGGCTACGCACTTCCAAGGAAGTGTGATTTGCCTTTGCCTCCAAACTTGAGATCCCAACAAGTCAAGTGCTCTCAATAATGCAACACAAATTGAGATATTTTGTACTGCCATGTTCTCAGAGCACGTATTAGTCAATATTGGCAGTTTTAATTGCGCCAGGCTGCATGCACTGACTGTTAGTTTAGTTACCTCCTGAGGCATGATGGGATATGAGTGGAATGAGGATGCATGAAAGGGGGAGGAGGAGGGCTGGTCATCGTCTAAGAGGTCAGCCTCGCTGATGTGAAGCACATCCTGGGCGGAGGTTTATAAATCAAACAATATCCTGAGTCTAAAAGATTTCATTTCCTGTTTTGCTAACCCAATTATTACGGGTTGGGCACATGGGATCCATATGATATGCTATAAGGAATATATGGCTAAAAAGCTAAACCTTATAGCTTTCCTAGCCCAAGAAACCCAAACTACAAAGTTCACTAAGGTGAATTGCAAAATGTCTTGCAAAGAAACACACTATGGGTCCACGTTATCCATTTTAGGGTCACATGGTGGGATCATACACAGGAATAGCTCAACAACATTTTGAAGATATGTTAACCATCAAATGAATTCTTTTTTCAAGCAGAGGAGCAGATATTCAGCAGTTATTTAATGTAGCCTCGTGTAACAGGCACATCAAGCATTTTATGATTACAATCCTGCTTACCTCCTTTATAGTGTTGGAGCTTTTGGGGAACGTCTTCCCACCAGTTAGGCTCAGGTATCTTTTCTCCAGACTGGCCAGCCTTTCTTTTTCCTAAAACACAGATTCCAAATCAATCAGTTAAAAAAGGTATCACAGAGCAGCAAATCAGCATATTAAAATGATTTCTAAAGGATCATGTGACACTGAAGACTGGAGTAATGGAGTAATTCAGCTTTGCCATAACATAAATGATATTTCTCACAACTTGTGTGCTTTATCTGGATGGCACGGAGGGAACTGCAGCGCTAATAGAGTCGTGTCTTGCAGCTGTGCACAGAAGACCAATGGCCAAGGTCAAGAATTTTATTAAATAATACATACAATTTTGGTTTGTTTTTCACCAAACCCTATCATATACCACCAAAACAATTGGAATATACGGCACTTGTCGCATGGAATGATTCTGTGATGCTTTTACATTACAAGGTTTTTAAAAAACTTGATGCTATTCACTTCAATTCTATGGACGAGCGCGAGAAGGACATTTTGGTAAAAATTCTCCTTTTGTGATCCATAAAAGGGCATATGTAATTAGAACAACACCAGGGTGAGTAAATGATGACTTAATTTTCATTTTAGGGTGAACTTTCCCTTTAATGATAAACTTTTTTGTTGTTTTTTTTCTTAACCTAGCAACAACAAACATTGAGATGAAAGAGCTTTTGGTGAAATTTGGTGCCAGTCCTCACCCCTATGTGTTCTCATGGGGAAGAACATTAAAAGTGTATATTAAAAGTAATTTCCATTTCCTGTACCTTCTGTAGCAGCTGCAAGGTGATGCTTCTGTCCTTGACCAGCCTCTCACACTCCTGAGCAGCTTGTATTCCCAGCTGACTGGCCTGGCTTTCCAACGCTGCAACCTTGTCCTGGAAACAACAATTTGGACAAGAGTTTGAGATGCTCTTGGTGGTTCCATGCATTGCTATATGCGTGTATGCTATTTACCTTTCTTTTGGCGACACTGCTGTGGTACTGGGCTCTGTCCTGCAGCAGCTGCTGGCTGATGGTCTCACGCTCCTCCTCTAGACTGCTCTCCTTCTCTAACTGTTGGAACTCCAGGTCCTCAAACTGCTTTGTCGCAGCCTCAAGAGTCTCAGCTTCCTACACACACATGCATCCAAGCATGGGGTCAATAACCAATCAAAGCATCCCATTAACGACAGCAATGAGCAACTTCCGCAGCAGCCAAGCTGGGTCAGTTTAAAGGGATGAAAATTCTGACATAACTTACTCAGTTTTTTTCTTCTGTTGAACACAAAAGAAGATATTTTAAAAAATGCTGGTAAACAGACGGTTGACGGCAGCCATTGAAAAAATATACTATGGAAGTCAATGGGTGCTGTCAACTGTCTGGTACTAGCATTCTTTAAAATAACTTATTTTGTGTTCAACAGAAGAAAGAAACTCATACAGGTTTGGAACAGCAAGAGGGTGAGTAAGTGATGACAAAACTTTAATTTTTTTGGGTGAACTATCCCTTTAAGAAACCACATGGAGGAACTGATTGGAACGTTATGCTACACAACGGGATGTCAATCTCATCTAGCCCAGGGACCACAATGTGTACAACATACAAAAATGTCTAATTAATTATCTAATTATTAATTATTTTATTCAAAATATTAATTATATTAACATTTTGAAATATAGAGAACATTTCTACACATTCTTAAGATATTTCTATATGCTTTACATGTATATTTAATTTCAAAGACTTTCTGCAGTAACTTCAGGGATTCCCAGGGGTCCAGTTGAAAAACTTTGTGCTACACACAGATCTATGTGGAATAATACACTCTTCCAGAATCCTTCAAGATCTATCATATCATATTACATCCAACTGAAATCCAAGTACATCAAATAAAATTTAAACACTCAGATGTGATGGTAAAACTGGAAAATGAGGAATATCTATGAGACTTCTTCCTTCAGAATATAAACGAATCTCATGAAAGGCAAAACAAATCTGTTTATAATGTAGGGAAGTCTTGTCATTTCTATATACAAATCTCAAGGACATTGGCAAACCCTTGCTGTCAATTCATCAAAGCGTTTCTGACATTGTAAAGCTTGAATGCTCAGTGCGCAAATGACATCTCTTCTCTCTCATGCAGCCCTTGGGATATTTCTGTTTGCAAAAAGGGCTAGTCATCAAAACCACTGCCCAAGCACTGTCAGAAGAGATTCCTTTATTCATGCTAATCAAAAGGAAAATAATTGATATTACATTTCTTCATATTTTAAACAAAAATGTCCTGCTTTGAATTTTACTGTCTTTTTACACAAATCAAATCAAGAAGATACATCTCAAAAACATCTTTTGGCAAAAGTATCAATCTGTGTGGTATATAAAAAGAGAGAAGTGCACGATTTTCTCCAAGACAAGTTTAGCGCAAACTCCACCCTAAGCAATTCAAAAGATTGGATTGGTCATGTCAATCACAGTGCTGCTGATCTCCTACATCACACTGAAACAAATACTAAACCCTAACCCTTTACCCTATCTGATCTAATCCATCCATTGTTTTTCTGAAATCTGAACTTGCTTTGACAGGTGAGTGCATGATTGCATTGACCAATGAAATCGTCTGTGGGGCGGATTTTGCGCTTAACTGGATTGGGGGGAAAATCATGTGAGAGAAGTGAGAGGTGTCAAAACAACACTATAGCACTACGTTAGTTTCTGCATTAATAGATTAGTACAAAGTTAAATGGTATTATTACTTTGGCACCAGACAGTAGCATTAAAGAAACCTCAATAATACACCCAAAAGCATGCAAAGTTCTCAACATTTGATTTCACCACTGAACACGAGTTTACCTCCAATAAAAAAAATGTAGACCCTTTCATCAGTGCACTAAACTAAGGCAGACAAGATTTAAAACATGGTGTTCCCAGTGACAATAATTTGTAGTAATAATAAACATGGAATAATATTTCTGCTGGGATCATCGTGATGGATTTGGTGCATAGACAGCCCAATAGAACTTAGTTGTGTATCTGGAAGGTGGGGTTTATGAAGCCAGGGCTGTGGGGCGGAAGCAGTTGGTAAAGTGCTGATGTTCCTGACGGTCACTGACCCTCTTGAGTTGTTCCTGTAACTGCTCCCTCAGAGACTCAGGGCAGTTATGGAGCTGGCTCTTCAACTCATTGTACCCATCCTGAAGCCTCTCCAGGGCTTCCCGCTCCACGTCAACATTAGCCCTCTCCTAGAAAGAAAACACACCATCCGGGAAGGGGAGAGAAAGAGAACACAGCTCAAATCCACGCCATGCAGAAGCGTCCGAGGTTAGAGGTCACAACAGAGTGGGTGGAGCCAGAAAGGATGAACACTAAGCCTTATAAAACACTATGAACTACATGACACTGGACTTTAGGCCGTCTACAGGGCCAAACAGACTTCTGTTCTCAGGCATTTCTTGATCAAAGATTTCAGATGTAATGAATTTCTGCTGGTATGTGCTGTTTAGATGATATTATACCATACCAGAGGGCAGGAAATAGCTGGCTAGTTTGAAGTTGGCTTTTTTTCTTTCTTTTATCATAAAAAGAAAGATTTGCAATAGCATCATACTTGATGCTTCAGATATATATATATATATATTTTTTTTTTTAAAGTTAGTCCTGAGATAGTTCCATGTCTACATATGCGCTACTCTAATGCACATTGAATTCATGCATTGTGCTCTCTTCCAGACCAATATGATCACAATTAAAGCACGTTAAAAAAATCAATATATCAAAGCACAGACAGAACAACATTCTGTTTAAAGAAAAGCCATTTCCAAGGTTTATAGGGGAATTATCCATGTTTGCACAAACACTGCACAGATCGATTGCGGTCAAGATCAATCTAGTACAAATTACAGCCGGTCAGTGACTGGTAACATGAGCTTGGTGGCAGCCATCCCCATGAGGAGAAATGGGTTCAAAGCAAACAAATGTATCAATCAATCAAGGCCTGAATGGACAATGGACCAATCCAGATTGATGCAGAGTCTTTGAATAAACTCTTTATCTTTTTATATCAAGAATAATTCTTAGTTCACCCAATAATGGAAATTGTTTGCTCGCCCTCATGTCATTTCAAAACCATTTGAGCTTTTTTCCCCTTCTGTGGAACACAAAAGGAGAATTTTTTAACAGGTTAATTTGGTTCAAAAAACTGTTTAGAATGATTCATTCAAAGATTAGCCTGAATCAGCTCTAATAACAACTTACAACTCTAAATTAGAAATTAAATTTTGGCCTGTCTGTCTGTCTGTCAAACAAACCATAGATCATATTACTTGGGATATACCTTTTTTTAAAACTTGAGCTTCGGTCCCCATTCACTGTAATTGCATGGAAAATAACAAAAAGAACTGTGTTCAAAATTTCCTTTTGCGTTCCACAGAAAGAAAGTCATACAAAAGTCATATTGACTGAATTAAACATTTTTGGGTGAACTATCACTTTAAGCATTTCTCCAAGAGCCTAATACTTGGCAGAATCGAAAAATACTAAAATACCCAGAGAAACCCAGAACAAGATGAATGGAAGAAATAAAGGCTGGATTTCCAAAACAGCATGCAGGAAAAGGCTTTCTAAAAGACAAACATTGTCAGTCACCGAGTCTCGCACCACTGGAGCTATTGTCCCTCAAAGCCAGTGCGCTAATCCCAAAGCCTGAGTTTGCGCTAAGCTAAACAGTTTTGAACTCGAGGGGGCGAGCACTAGAAACGGAGAGACTGTGAGTGCAGAAAAAAAGCAGTGAGGAGATTAGAGGTTAATGAAGGCTTGTTAGTGTTGCCAAGCTTTGTAGAGGACCTGATGAGAACCACCACAAAAGGAGAGGAAAAAGACAATACCTCTTGTGAATGAATGCTTGATTACCAAACAGTACCTTGGTTTTCTGCCCAAACTAAACCAGTGAACTGCATTTAAATGTGACTATCATCTTCAGATCCTCTATTGTAGAATGTAGAATGACCAGATATAATGGGAAGAGGTTTGGCTAGTTTGGATGGGCAATGTCGCGCTTTGTTTTTTTTTGTTTTTTACCTTGGGATGGCAATCGAGACCAGAATGGGCCTTGAGTGGCCATCCGGCTGAATGGCATGCCTTTAAGGAATGTCAGAGACCAGAAAGGGCTGTTCAGTCCAGAGAGGCTCAACAGTATAAAACAAAAACACAGTCCAGACAGGGATTTGAAACTCTTCACTTCACAATTAAGGTGCGGTCACAAATTACGTGGGCAAAACAAGGTCAATTGTCTATTGTCAGTAGTGTAGATGCATGAAGCACCACTCATTAAGGAATCAGCTCAAGCAGCTCTCTGTTGGTCATCACAGTGAATTCATGTGACAAACTAAACCCATTGCAAAATCTGCCATTTTTCGGCATCACACGAAATTCACGATTGCGTAGATTCCGATTGTTATTACTGGAAAATTTGCAGAACAATGATAAATATGACCGCACCTTTAAATCTAAATGACAAATGAATGTATATCCTGCTGAAAAATATAGCATTGCTGGTCACCAGCTTAAGGTTTATGTTTTGCCTGCTGGGAACAAAATAGTATGCTGGTTGCTAGTTTGCTGTTTACAAGCATGGGAAGCAGGAGTGCTGATGATAGCTAGACCAGCTCTATACCAGCCTGGAACAACATGGAATTCAAGCTGGTTTATGCTGGATTTTTCAGCAAGGTATATGTCCTATTATGGAATGTGTGTCTGAATGTTGAACAATTACATTCTGTGTGCTTGTATGTGGTGTGAGTGTCCTACCTTGTCTTTCTCTCTCTGGATGGTGTTCTCCAGTTCGCTGAGTTTGCGCTGCAGCTGGTTGATAATCTCAGTCTCGGCCTCGATTTGCTCCAGCTCGGCCTGTCTCTCTCCCTGCAGCAGAGCTCTCTCCATCTCCGCCTGTCCAGATCAACACGTCAGACACAGCAATTCTCACAAAGTCCACATTAACACACCCTAGAGATCCATCTGACATTCTCTGTTCCACCACGCATCACTTCCTGCTGCTCTTATCCACTATAATTAGGAAAGGACTTCCTGTATATTCTTCAGTGTATTTAACCAGCTATACAGAAATGTTTATGAGAACGGCTCACCTCCTGTTTGGACTCCTGAAGTTGCTGCTCCAGTTCTGTGATTCGACCTTTGAGTTCATCTACCTTTGCCAGCACTCGAACCCGCTCCTCCTCCAGGTACCCCAGTTCCAGACGGCCAATGCTGCCCGATCCCAGAGAGTCCTCTGCCTAAATACACATCACACTCAGTTTATGTGATTTACTGTTTATGTACACTATCATTCAGTTTGGGGTCAGTAAGAATTGTTTATGTTTTTAAAAGAAGTCTCTTATGCTCATCAAGGCTGTGTTTATTTGATCAAAATTACAGTGAAATATTGTGAAATATTATTACAATTTAAAATAACTGTTTTCTATTTAAATATATTTTAAATTAAAGGCCAGATTTACTAACAATATCATCAATTTACTGGTATTTGTGCCTTTATTATATTTACTTCCCAAAACGCATGTCTTAAACCAGACACTAATTTGAGATTGTGTTGCCCATTATGAAAATGATCCGGCTGTGTCTGTTCTTTAATTTGAGCGTCATCAGTAGATCACGCACAGAACTTTCCACTCCCATCTGCGCTTTTTTGGACTTGCGCTCTCACACTAATATGCCCTGTTTAGTAAATCTGTGGTTTTTTAAATCTAAATGTTTTTAAATCTAAATGTTAGTAAATCTAAATGTTTTTGTGGAAATCATGATATATATTTTTCAGGATTCTTTGATTGTTACAAAAGAGTTTTATAACTTTTTTTATTAATCTAAAAGTCTTTACAGTAACTTTACTATAAGTATAGATTTCCTCAAAAAAATCTTACTGACACCAAACTTTTAAATGGTGGTTTAATAATACAATTATAAGTATTAATATTGTCGAATTGATTAAAAGGTAGATACAAACTTTGCTAATGGTAAAAACGCATACAATGACACAATAAAACGTGAACTGTTCTGATATAAATAAGGAAAAAGAGTCCGACCTGTCCATTTTGCCCATTTAGCAGAACTGGTAGGGTCCGTCGGTCCTGCTGCGCACTCTCAGTGCTACTGCTGTCCTCCTTCAGGTTCTCCTCTTGGCTTTCACGATGTCTCTGCGCCACCCTCAGCGAAGCGCTGCTCACACTGTCCATGGAAGGACGTCTGTTAAGCCCCTCCCTCGAGCCAAGCCCAGAGACGCCCATCCTGCCCAGATCTCCCGCCGGCCCGTCACCCTTGTTATACTCGGCGCATAGGTTCAAGATTGTCTCCAGCCGCTGCCGTTCCTAAAACATAACAGAGAGAGCAACATAAGATGAGTCAGGGGTGGCAAAAATTGCCCTCACGTTATCTAATTTCCTCTGCGCCAGCCTCTGGCACTCAGCATCCAACTGATGCCAATCTGAAGAGAGAGGAGAGGAAATAAACAGAAGCGCCACTGTCTGGAGTGACTCTTATCATGCCCTGTCTTCAAGCGAGAGGACGCGGCCCTGTTTTCAGCACATACAAACACTCAGAGCAATGCGCTTGTTAGAACAGGCCCTCACTTACAGCAGACACGGAAACAACTATGCAACTACACAGAACTCACGTCGTGTCAGCCTGGGGGGTCTGAATGTGGTAACAGCTGCCCTTTTAAGCCAGTCGAGCCCACCTCAAAGACACATTCTCAGTGTGACCTTTGACCATTACATGACATTTGCTCTAGACCGAGTAACAGTCTGTATGGCACTCAAATGGAAAGAATAAACTTTTCACGTTTTCAGGATATGTTAATATCTATAAATGCTTGCCAGGTTTGCTGTAATGTTTTGTGTGGTTATAACTATAAGGCATGTAAAAATGCTGTTTAGATCCTATAAATACAACTTATTAATGCAATTGCAGCATATTATTACTGTGCGACCAGTTAGCGCTGAGAAATTTGCATGTTTTTGAAATCATTCAATTTCAATGAATGATTGCATGGGTGACAATGAATATGTGAATACTTGGCTGCCTATAAAATGTATATTATATTGACTTAAATTATTAAATTACTAAATAAATATTTGTTTGCAATGCTAATCAGCATATAAATATCTTGAATTGTACATCTTCATGTGTTTGCAGATTATGTTTTTATTGTTTTAATTTTATACAATACCGTACAAAAGTTTAGGGTACGTTTTTTGGGGGAAATAAAATAATATTTTTATTAAGCAAGGGTGCATTCAATTGATCAAATATGACAGTAAAGACCTTTATAATGTTACAAAAGACTACTAATTCAAATAAATCTATTTCCAACAAATAACTTTATATTAATTATAAAATCCTGAAAAAACTATCAAGGGTTCCATAAAAAAATAAATAGGAATTATAGGAATAGCTATTTTAATTTCCAGTACTATTTCACAATATTATTGGTTTGTACTGTATTTTTGATCAAATAAATGCAGCCTTATTGAGTATAAGAGACTAAGTGTACATTTAAAAAGACATTTAATTTTCATGAAATCTCAATGTCTTGAGAGCCGCTCCATCACAAACCCCCAGCTAGAAAAACCCTGCTGCAGGAGGTAATATAATTGCACATGTTTAAATCTACACTAGAAAAGGAAGATAAACAAAAAGAGGAAGGCTGGTATTCCAGCAGGTTGTGTGTGCTCTCTTTGATGTGCTCTAGAGACTCGATGAGCTCAGTGTGATTTGTGGAGCACTGTGATGAGTATTCTCCAAACCCTTAATTAGCCCAACCTGTAATCATCAGCCCACTAAATCTCCAAGATCACACTGAGAGGAGGAACATGGCAGAGAATCAGTCCAGACTGTTCCCATGGCTCTTTCCCATCAATGCTACTTAAAGCTGCAGTCCGTAACTTTTGTCGCTTTACCAGTTAATAAACAGAACTGCATTGGGGAAACACATTGTAGCCGGAGCTACTTCTCGCTGTTTATGTCTATGACGAGTCACGCAGGTACTGGGCTACTCTGCAGTAGTGCAACCCGAACCAGTCTAAAATAGTTAGAATATAAACACTTATTATAGGTGAACCGTAGTGATTCAGGATAAGACAAAAACACGGTTTGGAAAATGGATTCATGATGTGCTCGCTCATTATATAATTCTTTTTAATTTTGAACACAAAAAAAGTTATGGACTGCAGCTTTAAGTAAAATTATATTTGTATATGTATATTCAATGTGTGCATATATATATATATATATATATATATATATATATATGTGTGTGTGTATATATATATATAATAAATATATGTACAGTAGTATGCAAAAGTCAAAAGTACAGCTCTGGAAAAAATTAAGAGACCACTGCCAAATCAGCAGTTGCTCTGGATTTATTATTTATATGTATTTTTTTGAGTAAAATGAACATTTTTGACATCTACAAACTACTGACAACATTTCCTCCAAATTTCAAATAAAAATATTGTCATTTAGAGCATTAGACAACTAGTCAAAATAACGAAAAAAGATCCCATGTTTTCAGACCTCAAAATAATGCAAAGAAAACAAGTACATATTCATTTTTAAACAACAAAATACTGTTTTAACCTAGGAAGAGTTCAGAAATCAATATTTGGTGAAATAATCCTGATTTAAAATCACAGCTTTCATGCATCTTAGCATGCTCCCCCCATCAGTCGGTCACATTGCTGTTGGGCGACTTTATGCCACTCCTGGCTTTGTTCATTTGACTCAAACAGACACATATAAACTGCTAATTTTGGTCTCTTCATTTTTTTTCCAGAGCTGTGTGGACACATGATTGAATATAAATTTTTTAGCCATCGTGTTTTGGTTTAAATTAGGCTCAGAGAGACCATTGAAACTGATCAACTGTGACATGAATTGCTTTAAAAATCCACAGCTCCTCACACAGGAGAACTTTCAATCACTTATCAGAATAACATCAACATGTCTTCACCTGACAGGGCTGTCTCCTCTAGAAAATTACACGTCTGAATTACGAAAAGCTTTCATTCCTCAGGCTTCCGCGCTCTGTAACATCCCAGAGACCCTTCTAATACCGAAGGGGTGATATCACAGAAAACTTCTCGTCAACTACAATTTGCACCAGTAATTGCTGTATACAATAACAGCTAATTATCTCCACTTCACGCCACTCCACTAAAGCCAAGAGCAACATCACCAATTTTAGAGATATTTGAACACAGAGGCTCTCACTTCTAAAAGAGACGTTTATTCCCAGTTTAGACCAGGACTACAGCAGACCCCAACATGCACAACACTCATTTATGAGTTTAAAGGGTCCTCTGTAGTTGTCATCATTAGCAGGACCCCCAGGGGAAGGAAATAGTTTAAGATCATGGTGGCACACCCTGAGTTTTAAAAGCGCTCTGAAACACACAGAGGCTGAAGGAACCGTAGGAGGGAATATAATCATTTGATCTGTTTCCATACAGGCCTGCTAAGCCTCTGATCCCAGAGTTTATAGCCAAGCTTCATGAGTGTTTCCAATCAAAACTGGGGCTACCTGAACACTTCTAAAGCAATATCCTGTTTAATTGTGCTGTAAAGGAGCACAAATTCAACACATGAAGGAATTTGTTTAAGCCCTGGTCACATAACACATTTGACTGAATAACAACAGACTACTGAATATGCACACTGACTGAATATGCCAGTTTAATATGTTTAAAAGTACACTATTGGTAATCAAACACTAGTTTTAATGGTACATTTAGACTTAAATACACTTTTATATCCAAAATAAAACTAACCTTGATAAAAGAATGCAATGAAAACCACTCACTCACCCTCATTGTGACGTGTTAAAAGTCGCACACTAGTTCGAGTCCTGTGGTTCTCTCAGATGTATTCTCATTGAGTAGCTCTCCAGAACTCACACACACGCTGAGACAGATGAACAAATAAAGCCCCTAGTCCCTCCGCCTCCAACACACACACATACACTCTCTGGTCTGCTTTCTCAAAGTGTGTGCCGGTAGGTACATAAAGCAACCGCACTACATCTGTGCCGGTGGCTGCTAATGAAGATGTGAATCAATGTTCACAGAGGTTCACTGAAGTGGATGGCTTGTTTTATCTATCAAGGCTTTAAAACAAACGCAGTCACAAGTTTAAACGGCATTCATTGAAACCCACTCAGGGGTCAGTGCTCACTAAACAACATGGCTCGTGTGGGTGCTGGTCAGATGTTCTCTCAGATGGAGAAATACCGGTAGTGTGAAAATTACCATTCACTGCATGCTGAAACCCAGATGGAAAAATATAGACTGTTTCCACTGTACCGGTTTGTAGGATAACCGTTAAGCGCTTCATACTTTCCAGATGACAGCAATGAACAGACGCAGCCCTCTGTTTACACATCTCCCGGGTATGCTATGAGTTTTTTGGTAAACGTGTGTCTTGAAGGCAAAGTTCTCACTCAGGTGTGTGTCCATTTGGGGAAAACGGCAAAGGTTACATTCACATTGCAAGCCAAAGTGGATTTTCTACTTAAATCCAGTTTAGAAAAAAAAAAAAAAGTTTTTCAAAGGACCTTTTAATGATCACCCTACATTGGCATGACGTTCAAATTTCAATAATATAATATCATATTTTCTTAATGTATCAAATTATAAAAGCTCTGAACTTTCTTTCTAAAATCTCTCTCATTCATTGCTCTTTATTGTCTAATAACTTTTAGTATCACTTTCTGCCATTATTCAAAGCCAGTGTAGTATATCAATAATGTACATCTAATAAAACGTTCATAATAATAATAATAATAATACATTAAAAAAAAATAAACAAACAAACATTTTATATTATAAATATAATTTATTGTATAATCTAAATATATTTTATAAATATACTTTTGCACTTTTTTGTGTAATCCTTCATAAAGTGAAATTCATAACTTATTTTAGAAGTAAATCAAGCCTAATATTATGTCCAGGTAGACTGATGTAAAAAATCCTATTCATTCTGAAATTACTGATTGACAGATTGAATCAGATAGACATACAGTACAATGTTTGAATTGAGGGTTATCCGAGATGATGGACCTCGCATAAGAACATAAATATAAAACTTTTCAGTTCAGTTTCACTGAATTAAAGGAAGAAGAAAAACATTGAAAATATTCTGAATAACTGCTGAATTACTAAGTGCCACTGTTAGGACTTAAAAATGTCTGATTCATACAGCATACATAAAAAAAATATATAAAAGAAAAAATGGGCCACATTCAACGGTGGTGTGAACGTATCCAAAGTGAAATGGTATTTTACACAGATGAGATGCTTATTAGCAA